GCGTGTTTTAAAAAAAGTTTTTAAAATACATATTATTTATTTATTTCAGGTTGATATCTTTGTCATCATTGCCATGGTCAGCGTGTGACGTCACCAGTCCGTGGTCGCCACGAGGCGGCGCTCTGATGCCGGATTGTAATAAAACAATTCCACTACAAATTACAACCTTCGTCAGTTTTATTATTTGTACTTTGCAAGAACTTGTTTCCGAGTACCTCAATGTCTCCCCGTGACCCTGTGTCTCCCAGTGTCTCTGTATTCCAGTATCTTTCCACAAACTATCTTTGTTTCCTTATAACCCTGTCTCCCAGTCTGTCTCAATGTCTCCCCATCTTCCTGTCTGTCCTTGTGACCCAATACTTTAAATCTGTCTCCTGGTGTCTATCTCCCAGTGTATTTATGTTTCCCTGCCTCTTCAAGTCTCTCATCATTTTCTCACTCCCCTGTCTGTGTCATCTCCCTGTTTTTCCACCTTATCTGTTCTCACCTTCTCCCCTTCTACTGGTAGGAACCTCCTGGTTACACCAGCCCACAGGGGATTATTGTGTCCGTCCGTCGTGCATCCAAAAATGAGAGGGGTGGGGTTGGGTGGAGAGGGGAGGGTGGGGAGGGGCTGAGTGGGGAGGGAGGGGCTGGGTGGGCAGGGGAGGGGCTGGGTGGGGAGGGTGGGACTAGGTGGGGAGGGGAGGGTGGGGAGGGGCTGGGTGGGGAGGGTGGGGCTGGGTGGGGCTGGGTGGGGGGTGGGAGGGGTAGGGCTGGGTGGGGAGGGGCTGGTCACCCCGTGGTGCCCTTATAAAACTCAACGCTTAACCTACTCACTCCGGCTTGTGCCTGCCCTCACAGTCGGGCATATTGCGGAATACACCACGTGGTGGTGCCGCCGTTGACCCTGGCCATTGACCGAGCAACCCAACGTTCCTACCAGCTCCCTCCGCAGAAATGTGTTTTTTTTTATCTCTCTCTCCCTGTCGCTCACCCTGTCTCCCTATCTCCTGTCTCTCTCCGTTCCCCTGTCGCTCACCCTGTCGACATGTCTCCCTCTGTCTCTCACCGTTTGCCCTGTGGCTCATCCTGTCTCTCTCCCTGTCGCTCTCCCTGTCTCCCTCGCCTTCCCCTCTCCGCCAGATGTGTTCATCCTTTTTAGTGCAAACAGGAAACGCCAAGCGCGCTTTTACCATTTTTTCCTCTTTCCTCCGTCGAAGCCCCCACTCACATACACACTCAAAACAAAGACACATATTACCCGCATAGCCTGTAACAGACCTTTAGAGCAAGTACTGTTCGCGAGTTGCACCTATAAAGGCTGGCACGGCACACGAAGGGGTGAGTGGTCAGCACTACGCCCGACCGCCTTTGTCTCCCCAGTGGCGATGTGTTTACACATCCGCACCAAGTACTCAATTGAGGCTGAGTCGACCTAGGGGAGGCCCAAGACCGGTTCAGATATTCGCCACCAATGTTGACCTGGATCGAGAATCGAACTCCGGTCGCCGGGTGTGTGGCGCAGCGCGCTATCCACTACGCTACCGCTCCCCACCTACACACACACACACACAAGTACACATATGTACACACACATGTACACATATGTACACACACACATGTTCTCTACGAACACATACGTAAACATTGCAAGCAATGCACACCCAACCATTCAGTTTTAAAACACGCAATTATTCCCATACAAATACACGTGAAACACAAACACACAAACGTCTGATAAACAGCTCGCACACATATGCACAGATTTAAACATGCAGAGATGCGTACACACGAAAAATTTCAACTCATACACACGCGCGCACGAATGTACCCATGTAAACATTCGCCATGTACCTCTGGTCTACATCAACACGGCCTCAAATGTATACCCGGTGCATTGTGCACATTAGTAGTGGAGAGACAAAGACGGCCGGGTGTGGTTCCATGCCGATGCAGGCCTTTTTAGGTGCTCGCAAACAGCACTTGCCCCCAACAGCCGCTGTAAGCTACACGGGGGATCTGTGTCTGCGTATGTGGGTTGGTAAAGGCTGGGAGCATAGACGTGGTAGCATACAGTACAACAATGTCTTTGGCCTACAATGTCCACAGCGTGACCCCGCAGCAGCTGATAACGAACCTACGCTGTGTACGGTGGTCACCCACATATCCAGTCTCGAGCCTGCTTAGCTTCCGAGATGCGACGGGAACGGGGCGCATTCTGCACGATGCGGTGATACGCTTGACCGGTTCTTGTTTCCCGTGATTCGTATACAGAACTCTTCAGCCATGCACTGACCAGCGTGGTGAAGTATAAGCCATTGGAGCTACCCACTTTTAAATCCAGATTGAAAACGAATTTCTTTAGAACCGATGATTATATCTTGAGTTTGTTGTCCTTCCCCGCACCTCCGATTAAGCACGGTTGGCCACGTACGGTGCGAAAGAAGTTCAACATACGTACAGTGCAAGTAAACCCCACGGGGGTGGTTCTCATGCAGCCGTGGGTTGACAACGTGCTGTGCGTGTGTGAATAACTCTGGGGATGGTGGACAAAGCTCAGACAGGATGCTCGTGGGGGGGTAGTTGGTGGGTGGGTGGGGGTGGTATTTTTAAGGGGGGGAAGCGTAGAGGGGGGGGGGGCTCGTTGGTCTAAGTCTAGAAGTCGGCGAGAGGCCAGAGAAAGCTAGTGTTCCCTTTTCCAAAGTTGTACCCAACAATATTTCAGTCGCACGGTGGCGGGATGTTAACTACCTCGCCCGGTATACAGGAGCACGTGGGTTCCATCCGGAACCCTGACGCCTGCTGCTGTGTATTTGGAGTTTGCACGTTCTGCCCGTTGTCGCATGGATTTTTCTCCGGATCATCCGGGGTTTTGTTCGCCCTTCCACATTTAGAATCAACATCACGCGTTTAGAGTATTTGGCTCCTCTAAATGTCCACGTGATAAGCCGCCACTTCGTTGAGCTATCATTTGTGACCCAGGTCGCTTTTGAAAAAAGAGCTCCTGTATAGCTCAGTGGTAATAAAAAAAAATAGTTTTAAACTTTATTTCAGGGCGTTCTACCTCGTCATAATAAGCCATGGTCAATCCACTGCTAGATAAAGGCTTTCTCCCAATCCGCCGTTATCCCTCACGACCCTACGGTGTCATTATAATCCACCCAACGCCTGCGTACCAGCTGATTCCATTGCTCCATCTCCTCGGTGGGCCAAAAAACATTTCTTGGTTCCCACTTCGCCTCTGGCCGTGACGTGTCCCGCCTTAGCCCCCACGCATTTACTTTTGTTTTAAAACATTTGAATGTTGCCTTTAGCCTGTGTACCCTCTGTAATCCACGTCTTCCTCTTTCACGGCTCTCAGTGTAATTCCAAGAAAGGTGTTACTTTGCGCGCGCTTTTAAGTTTTTCGTTCTGAAATGTTAGCTCATGACCGCATTTCTGAGCCACATGTCAAAGGCGGGTAGCACACACAGCTTGGAGACGTTCTTCTATCAGACTTGCACAACCAAATGCTCGTCCTCGGAAATCTAAGCACATTTATTCTAGACGTTTTATTTATAACAACAACAACAACACCATTAATTATGGTACATGTGTGAGTTGCTCACATTCGTAAAGAGTTACAAATATACTCAACTTAAAAAGAACTTCACGACACTAACCGTTTACATACAGTCGGCACTGCTGTAATACACCGCGTATTTGACACGAAAGATAATTTCAATTTTTTGAGTAAATAGTTTAACTGAGCACACACTCTCTGCTTGATGAGAATCAGCAGAGAAGTCTAAACCAGGCCAATGTTTTTTTTATTCTCAAACAAAGGCCACTGGAAGAAAAGCATTGGTCCAGATGGGCCCTTTAGTTGAATGACCTATTTTTTTATTATACCAATTGTGTGGTCGGTGTGAAGTCATCATGAAACCAAGAATCAATTCTGAACTCCAGCGGAGTGCAAGTGCGATCGCCATGTGTTAGAGAGAAAGAGAATGGCCCGCGGAAGAAAGTATTACAGAACTACTTCTGAAATACCTTCAAACGAAATCGTAGAACTAGAATGATATATTAATTATCTCAGCTATGAAAAACCATTGGTCTACTTGCATATATGTTCTTACTCCCGCTGGGTTCTGCATGTCTGGATCCGTACCGGGGCTTAATTTCTGCCGGGTTTGTTCTGGTCGGCGATCCCAGGAACACCACATGCACAATATGTGCACTCTATATATTCAGTGCCGTATATGGCTCGGGCTGTGGCTACTAGCCACCACGTACCAACAACCTATACTCGAACCGTAGCAGGGACTCGGAAAATATATACAGTATTCGTAGAGAAACTCAGCCCTACTTCCGGCCGGTGTTACGAAGAACGTAACGGGTATTTGGGTGCACGGTGTACAAATATATTTTTACATTTTTGGCGCACGGGGTCTTGTTGACAAGGATCACATCCCCAAGTGCCGGAAAGCAGCGGCAACGGCAGGCGGCGGCGTAAGTGGGGCGCGGAGAAGGAGGGAGGGAGGGTGGTGGTGGCTACGATTAACTGGGGGACAGAGAGGAGAGGGTTAGGGGGTGGTAGAGAGGGGTAAGGGGATCGCGATGGACGGGGGGGGGGGGATTGCAGGGAATGCGAGCAGGTGGGTGAGAGTAGGAGGGGGGCATGGGGGGGGGGGTCACGATAAAGAGGGGGGGGGGAGGTTGAGCATGTGGGGATTGAGAGGCGGGAGGAGGAGGGGGATTGAGCGCGTGAGTGGATTGAGAGGGGAAGGCTTGAGGGTGGGGTGGGGAAGATTGAGAGGGTGGGGTATTGAGAGGGGAGGGGATTTAGATGTGGTGGAGTTGGGGGGGGTGGCGTCACGGTGGACTGGCGGATTGCGGGGGGAGGAAGGAGGCGAGGGAGGGTTGCATGGGGAGCGGGGGGGGGGTCACGATGGACTGGAATTAAGTTGTGGGGGGGGGGGCAGCGAGCAGGGAGGGGATGGAATGAGGGTGGGAGGGAGGGAGTGGGAGGAAGCGGATTGAGGTGGAAGCGGAGGCATTTGGCAGATGTTGGGGCCAGAAGTAAAAAAACAAGTCGCGTCTCTCGCACCGCGGTCCCCCCCCCCACACACCAGCCTCACGCGGGCGCCGAGGAGGGGCTGCTGATGACCGCCCGGCACGGTTCCGGTTACAAGACACCTTTTCTGTCTAAAGCGCTTCTGTCGGGCTCTCTTCACAGCTCTCTTCTTAAACCCGCTGGCTGGATGAAGACCTCGCCGCGTCGCGCCGAACAGCATGCGCGCCGTTTAACCATACTTCACCATGGTGGTCGGTGCGTGTTAGCTAGTCGGGCGAAGCCCAGGCACGGGTTCAGACTCGAACTCATGATCATCGGGTGAAGAGTGCGGGACGCGAACCACTGCGCCGGCCAGCGGCGACTGTAGACACGAAACACAGTCTATGGTGTAGAACGTGCACGGCATTTGGTGCGGGAGGTTAGAGGTCGCGGTGAGCGAGCGGAGTCGACACGAGAGAGAAGAGACGATGAGCGAACGTGGACCTTCAGAGGTCCAGCCGAAGCTGGAGTCTAACCGCGACGCGGCGAACCAAGTGGACGCGGACCAAGAGCCGGACTCGAACTCGGAGTTGTTGCATCGCGACCTGCAACTGATGCAGCGCATTGGCGCGGGCACATACGGAGACGTGTTCAAGGTAGGTGAGCGCAGGCAACGCTGCCACGACTTGTGAGTTATGTCAGGGGTTTTAGTTTGCGTGTCTCTCTCACTCACTCTCTACATTCTCCCCCCTCTCATTCTCCCCGTGGCCGCGTGGATTTTTCTCCGGTTCCTCCGGTGTTCACCCCCCCCCCCCCCCCCGACTCTTCACATTTAGAATCAACGTGCGTTCAGAGTGCTTGTGCCATCAATTTCCACGTGATAAGCCGCTGAGATGAGCTGTCATTCGTTGATAGCCAGGTCGCTTGTGAATAATAGCGATGTAGCTCAGTGGGCCTTACCTCGTGAAAGAAAATAAATTGTTGAAATAGTTTTAATCTTGATTTGAAGCTTTCGTGACTGCAGGAATCCATACTCTTTGGTTCTTTCGGTAAAGTCACGTAGGTAGAAAAATAATAGATCACGACGTTTCGATCGCAACACAAGCAATCGTCATCAGGTGGGACAAGCACAAGTTTTTGTATTGCTTTGGTTGTCCCACCTGATGACGATTGCTTGTGTTGCGATCGAAACGTCGTAATATATTAAATCGTTTTTAGTTTGCCATGTTATAAAATTACCCGCAGATTACTCAATTGGGATTATACGGTGCATATCAGCAACCATCGCTCCCTAATGTCAGATTTAATGCGACTTTTGCAGGCGAGGTGCTGAGTAACGTTGTGCGACACAGGGACAGCTGCCACTGGGGGTGCCCTTTCAAATGTGTTGCAATGAAATCGTACAGCGCTCTGAGACACCCCGGCGCATAGGAGTGAGCTCTATTAAAAACAAATGTGTTGTAAAATGATTACTGTATTCTTACGAGAATAATCATCACAGGGGAGTGGTGGTGCAGTGGTTAGCGCAATACGTTACGAACCCGGCAACCAAGGTCGAATTCCAGCCACGCCCAACGTCAGTGGCGACTTAAACCTCCCGCACTGACCAATGTGGTGAATTATGGTTAAACACAACCCCTCACAACCGACATGGCGTGGGGAGCCCTTCATCCAGCAGTGGATGCACATTGGAGCTGGCAAATATTGTAATTAAATCAAGAGAATGCCAACGCGTCTCTTTGCTTAATGTTGGCAGCGCATTGAGATCAGTCAGTGATCAAAATTACACTTGCTCATGGCTTGGGTGAGTATCGGTTTTGGACGACCGCTGTTGACTTCACACAGAGTGGTGCTCGTTTCATCGACCCGGAATAGATGATGGACTGAGTCGTCCCTGGATTTTTAGCTCGTGACCTTTGTTGATTGTGAATCGGGTGGTCTCTTGGGAAAGCTTGACGGAGCCTGAGTATCCTGCTACATTGGAATGTTTCACCAATTCTACGATTAATTATGGAGGAAACCCGAGAGACTGGAGAAAAAAAAACACTTGCCCGAGTGGAAGATTGTGGGTGAGGCTACGCTTTACTGATGAGTCTCAATAAAGTCTCAACTGGAGCATGGTTACCAGGCTCAATTAAATAAACAAAACTTTCAATTTTACCAAGTAAGGCCCATCGAGATATATAGCTTTTTCCGAAGAGACCTGGCCACAAATGATCGCTCAACAAACTGGCTTATCATGTGGAAATGTATAGCAGCCAAATATTCTAAACGCATTTTGATGTTAAATACTGAGGGAAAAACCGGAAGACCCGGAGAAAAAAAAACACGCAACCACGGGGAGAACATGTAAACTATAAATATACAGCAGCAGGCGTCAGTGTCGGGATCGAACCCACGACCTCCTGTATACCACGCGAGGTAGTTAACATCTCGGCACCGTGACGCCCACGACAGCTGTTATCCTAACATATCATCAACATTTCCATCAGCCATTCTATTCACACAGTCGTTGCCATCGCTGACGATCTCGCGATGTCTCAGCGAGCTGATTTCACCGCTCCACCTCCCACGGTGGTTGTATTCTCGGGCGCGTGTCCCCCTCCTTTTGGCTGTCACTCCATCGTTAAACTTCGACCCAGGGCCGTTATCCCTCCGAGCCACGTGTCCTGCCCGATCACACTCGCACTTTTCTTAACAGTCAATAAAATGTCTCTCGTTTGCGTTTCGTCTCCGACCCGTGTGTGTTCACCCCCTCTCTCTCGTCTCTGTCTCTCATTGTCATTCCGAGTTTGCGTCTGCCCATTTGCCTTCGCTTCCTGCGACGTTCCTCGTCGGTTGCAGCTTCGGGATGTTTTCATTATAAAATTTCAGTTTCCCTTTTTTATATTTTGATTCCGATCCGCCTTCAAAAATATTGAACGCGTTCGTCAATGCCACTGTGTGGCCGTAAAATAAAAAAAAAACACGGCAGGCAACGTTTCAGGCAATGGTCCTTCTTCCTCGGACACGATGTGCCCTATAATATACAGTATATTCTTTCAAAGCCGCTGTGCTATTGGCTATTGTGTTACATAATCCGGAGAATACAGAGACAGTGCTCAATTGGTGTGTACGTTAACTGACTTGTTTTTAAATGTAAAATCCGCATCAGGTCCAATGGTGTAAAATGCGGTCTCTTCAACTATTCCTATCCACTCTATCGCTCTGTTTATATGCTATGAAGAACTGTCATTGCCCGAATCGTCGCCGTTTACATTTTTTCTTTTAAGGCCGCAATCTTCTCGACGAATTTGTTGAGTGTTGTTGTTTGTGCACCACTACCAACGCAGAAGTAGCAGCAGCGTCACTGTATTACTGGTAGGAACCTCCTGGTTACACCACCAGCCCACAGGGGATTATTGTGTCCGTCCGTCCGTCGTGCATCCACAAATGGGAGGGGTGGGGCTGGGTGGAGAGGGGAGGGTGGGGAGGGGCTGGGAGGGCAGGGAGGGAGGGGCCGGCTGGGGAGGGGAGGGTGGGGTGGGGCTGGGTGGGGGGTGGGAGGGGTGGGGCTGGGTGGGGGGTGGGAGGGGTGGGGCTGGGTGGGGAGGGGCTGGTCACCCCGTGGTGCCCTTATAAAACTCAACGTTTAACCTACTCACGCCGGCTTATCCCCGCCCTCACAGTCGGGCATATTTGCGGAATACACCACGTGGTGCCGCCGTTGTTGACCCTGGCCATTGACCGAGCAACCCAACGTTCCTACCAGCTCCCTACGCAGGAATGTGTTATTTCGCCTTCGAAAATGTCTAATTTCTCTCTTTCCGATTGAGGTCCTCTGACAATGCTATTTTATTCCGCAAACTTCGTTCCAAGTGTTTTTTTTTATTTGCTCGTTTATTTATTGAGTCAAAAGTTTTTCGCGGCCCTCTTTGTTGAGTTATTTTCTTACGTTCGTCTACAATTTCCTGCAGTTCACAAATAATTCAATCGCAGTTATGATGACGATCTCATCAACAAAGCTGAGATCATGAACACTTTCCCCATGTTGGTTTACCGTCTCTATTGCTTCAGTCAAGCGTTGAGAAGGCTAGGCTTCAGATACATCTGAGAAAGAGACAAGTCAAGGCATAAGCTTGCTTGCTCGCTTGCATGTTCAGTCTTGGCACAAGGTCCCGCTCCTTGCCCAACACCTCGCTCGAGGCTCATGCAGCACGGGGAACACGCGCTGCGGGTTGAAAATGCAGCCATTGTGTTATCTATATGTTATCTCTTAGGATTGTGAGGACAGGACAGATTGTTGTTACTCGTCTCGTGAAATCAATTGAACATCTAATCTTCTTCCTGGCATTTTTTTCCCACCACGTGGTGGGGGGAGGGGCGGGGGGGCTTCCTTGGTTTTGCTTCTCCACTCAGACCGGTCCAGGGCCATCATCTCCACGCCCGCTTCAACTTGCTTTGCAGGGAATTTAATGCCTAACTTTGTTTTAACATTGATGTATGTTTGTGCAATACTTTTAATATCTCGTGTGATATAATTTGGTGTGTGCTGGTTTCTGTTTGCTGCATTGCTGTACTTAATTTTACTGCTTTTTGTTATTGTCATTTTTTATGACCCTGGTTACTCATGAAAACGAGACGAAGCTCGTCTCTTGAGTTCTGACCTAGTTTAGCAAAAAAACTCGAAACTTGGACTCCACAGTCCTTCATATCCCTGGTTCACCACGTGGAGCCACCTCTCTCTCGGCTCTGCCACTCGGTCTCCACGCTGGTGCTTTTCCACGTTCATCGCCTTCATTCTTCCCACGTGGTATTCTCTTTCTGACTTGGGTACCACTAGTGCTTCATTTCAGTCAGAACGGTCTGGAATGCTCTTCGCTGTATTATGTTTTGCACCAGTCCACATTCATCTGGCGTTATTCTGTCCTATGTTTTTAAAACCTATTTATAAGATTATAGGAATATAGGGTGCCATTATATAAGGTTGTTATGGATAGGCATAGTGGTAGTGCATTTGCACCTCCTAGTAGCACGGTTGGCTATGTATGGTGCCAAAGAAGTTCACATACATTACTCCAAGCCAGCCTATCCGCGTTCCATAGACCATCGAGTGATAAACTAAGCCTTGCGTGCCACTAACCCTACCCGACACGTCCTCTGGCCGCCATCTGAGCCGGTTTGTTCTCAGCCTGACTCAGATGGCCACTACCAACTCTTCTTGCCGCCTTCCCCGTCGCTTCATTCTTGATATTCAGTCCAGTCCTCGCGATCCGTCTCGCGATGCTCACTCGCCTCTCTGCGGTGCACGACATCTGCTCGTGCCTGGCTCACCGCTTTAAACTCCAGTCACATCTGCTCTTCACCCCGCGCGCACAAAGCCGATTTGCATTCACATCCCGCGATTGGACTGGAATTACCACTCGACGTCCCACCCGTGAATAAAGTGATTACCCTAATGCCATTTATTTAACCGCGCGCGACCGCATCGACAGTCTTTATTCCTTGATAATAATTGATAATCGGCAGCTGTGTGTCAATACATTTTAGCCCATCACACGCGATCAACTGAAGTCAACCTATTGCTGCTGCTGGGGTGGACAGCAGCTGTGGGAGGGGGAGGTGGTGGTGGTGGTGGAGGGGTGGGGAATTTAAGAAACTTGCACAATTGTTTCAGCTGCCGCTCCGGGAGAATCGAATCAAACCCGGCGACCTCTGCAGGATTGAGGATTGCCCAGTCCAGTCCGCTGATAATTTACACCCACCGACTGTAGCAGCATTGACCCCCGGTCTTCAATATCCAGACTAAACAAAAAACAACCCATCCTAGGCGGGGGGGGGGGGTAGGAGAAAAAAATGTTTGTGGCACGTTTGCTGTTCTCCAAACCCACATGTCAATGTGAGCCTGGCCATTATGAGATGTGTGTTATGTTAAGGGGGGCGGTGTGCGGGGTGGGGGGGGGCTGGCCCTGGGGAGGGGGGCGGAGATAGGGAGGGGGCGGGAGATGAAGGGTGGGGTGAGTTTTTTCCTGCGACCCACAAAGCCATTGTGTTTGTGAGTAAAATGGGCCATTGTTGTTGTTAGTTTCGCTGCTTATTTATGGAGAGAATTCCGTTGAGCTGAGTGACGACTCCGGCTCGCCCCACTGCGGTCGCGTAAGGTTTGAATCCTGGACGGTGTTGGAAAACAAAAATCACTATCGCTCATCATCGTATTAATTAGTTATCATCATCATCAGTCGTGATCAATCCACATCCACTGCTGGATGAAGGCATTCCCCAAGCCGCCACAATCGCTCACGGTCCGGCGATGTAACGGCACAATTGTACAATAATCAAATAAACATTCAGCACACTCATCAACAACACTGGCCTTGGAAGCAAATAAATATATAATTGACGATTCAGGAAACGTCCCTTCTTCATAGCACATTAAGTTGTGTTGTTAATTGTGCATGTGCACCACTGCCAACGCAGCAGCACCTCATAATTAGTTTAATTATATCATGAATGTATTCAAACATCAGCATCACCACTAGCATCATCATCAGCATCACGTTCAACAGTCACCACCTTTATCATTTCACCAATCATCTTGAATTACTGACGTTGCCAATATATAATCCTCAGCTTGGTCACCAACACAACCCAGACGGTTTACCCCGTATCCTTGTACAGGGAAATTGAATTTTCAAGTCCGTGCATCGTACAGCCGTTTCAAAACGGGCAACATTGTTTTGTCTATTTGTACATGTTTCTCCCTTGTGATGGGACTTTGTAGGATGAACGTTGCGATTTCTAAGAGCACGGGGTGACCAATAAGGTCTGAAATAGTCCGTAATGAGTTAGGCACTGATAAGAGGTTGACAGGTATGCCAACATCGTCTGCACCATAATCACTGCTGATACACTGAACATCATCAGTTTAACACGGAGACTTTCGCGAACAATATCATCCATAATACAGGTTTTTACTGGTAGGAACCTCCTGGTTACACCAGCCCACAGGGAATTATTGTGTCCGTCCGTCGTGCATCCAAAAATGGGAGGAGAGGGGAGGGTGGAGAGGGTGGGGAGGGGCTGGATGGGGAGGGAGGGGAGGGGCTGGGTGGGGAGGATGGGGAGGGGCTGGGTGGGGAGGATGGGGCTGGGTGGGGGGTTGGAGGGGTGGGGCTGGGTGGGGAGGGGCTGGTCACCCCGTGGTGCCCTTATAAAACTCAACGTTTAACCTACTCACGCCGGCTTGTGCCCGCCCTCACAGTCGGGCATATTTGCGGAATACACCACGCCGCCGTTGACCCTGGCCATTGACCGAGCAACCCAACGTTCCTACCAGCTCCCTCCGCAGGAATGTGTTTTGGTTAGAGCGCGTAAATATATAAATCATCGCCACCATCACCACTGCCATTGTTATCGTCCTTTGATACCATCATCATCATCATCGTCGGCAAATTGTGCAACCACACACATGGTTTGGTTGCAAAATTTGGTGGAAATACAGTATATCAAAATATTCAACACGGGGGAGACAAAGGCGGTCTGGTGTATATGGCTTTGGGACACACCATCACCAGTCCAGAGATGGACTTAATAGGTTGCTCATCGACAGCAATTGTTTCAACAAGCTCATGGGAACCTTTGGATATTGTGCGTGGAGGTGCCAATATATAAGCGGTGGTGGAGCGGTCAGCGCCCTGCGCTAAGAACCCGGAGACCCGAGTTCGATTCCCGCTCACGGCAAACACCGGTGATGATGATCTGAACCGGTCCTGGGCCTCCCCTAGGTCGACTCAGCCTCAAATGAGTACCTGGTGTGGTGTGTAGTAAACATTGCCACTGGGGAGACAAAGGCGGCCGGGCGTGGCGTTGGCCACCCACCCCCCTCGTGCGCCGTGCCGGCCTTCATAGGTGCTCGCTCACAGCACTTGCCCCGACAGTGTGTTAAGGCTACACGGAGGATCTTTGTCTTTGTGTTTATATGTGTGCAGGCAAGGCGCATTCACAGTGGACAGGTGTGTGCAGTCAAAGTTGTGAGGATTGAACCAGGTAAGTCGCAAAGTTTACCTCTGTGTGTGCATTTACGTCTGTTGAAGGCTATATGGGGGATGTTTGTGTGTGGGGATAGGTGGTGCAATGGTTTATGCGCTGTGATATTCGTAAGCCACTGGAGCTAGATTGAAAACTCGTTTCTTTAGAACTGCTTTTTGTGTTTAGTTTGTTGTCCTTCCCCCGCACCTCCAATTAGCACGGTTGGCTATGTACGGTGCAAAAAGAAGTTCAACTTACGTACATACAAAGGGGCTGTGGATGATACGATGAGTTTTCGATGTGAATGATCGGGGTACAAGTGATCCTCGCTCTGCAGGCGAGGAGCTGGGGGCGATGGAGCAGGAGATCAAGGTTTTGCGCGAGTGCGAGAATCACAACATCGTCGCCTTCTACGGCAGCTTCCTCCGGTGAGCGCCGATCCCACACTTCCCAACGGGCTCGCAACATCAGCAACATCAGCAACATCATCATCATCAGCAACATTGCCGACAACATCATCACCATCAGCAACATTGCCGACATTACCAAGCTGCAGCGTGTTCAAATTTCTCTGCCACGTGTCGTGACGGCTACTGCAAGATCCGACCGTACCCGTTCAGTGCTCGCTGAGCTGCATTGGCTTCCGGTTGCCGAACGAATACATTATGAGGTCGCACTCATTACACACACAGAGTGCCGGCCACAAATTAACCACAATACCTTGCTGATCTCGTCAAGGAGCATAAACCATCAACAAAGATGGTCCCTGCATCGCGCGCTTTCAGATGCGCTTCTGCAACCATCTAGAACGCTCTTCCTTCCGATACGATGAAGACACTGGAGCTATGCGCGTTTAAATCTAAATTGAAAACTCCTTGCTTTAGAACTGCCTTTTGCCTTTAGTTTGTTGTACTTCCCCCGCACCTCCGGTTAGCGCGGTTGGCTATGTATTGTGCGAAAGAAGTTCAACATACATACACACATCGGCAGCAGCATTCTCATCCGTGTCACGGTCGTGATACGGGCAGCCATGGTTCCCCCGCTGCCCAGGCTGAATAGTCATGTCCTTGTGGAATTTTATTGGAGCGACATTTATGTATTGATTCGTGTTATGTGTTGGTCTCATCATCTGTTCACAAGTCTGTGGAGGGTGGATGACCTCTGTGTGTGTGCATGTGTCTTTGTGTTCATGTGGGGAGCGGAAGTGCAATGGTCAGCATGCTGCATTGTTAACACGACGACCTGAGTTTGATTCCCGCTCATTGTAAACATCTATGGTGAATTTATGAACCAGTCCTCGACCCCCCCACCCCCCTACATCAACTCAGCCTGAAATGAGTATCTGGTGCTTTGTGTAAGGCGACTGGGTGTGGTGCTGACCACCCATCCGATGATGTGCCATGGTTGACCTTCATAGTGGATCTTTGTTTACGTGCCTTTGTCTTTTTTGGTGTGTATGTGGGGGCCTTCAAAGGCACTCGCTAACAGCACTTGCCCCAAAAAGTCTGTAAAGGCTACACGGGGGATCTTTGTCTTTGTGTGAGTGCAGGCACGACGAGCTCTGGATCTGCATGGAGTTCTGTGGAGGAGGTTCTCTGCAGGATGTGTACCACGGTAGCCAGACATACCCACCACTTCTCCATCATCGCGATCATAATCATCACCACGACCATTACCATCATCACTGTCATCATCATCGTCACGACCGCCACCATCATCATCACTGCCCCATTGCATCCCTGGAAAATATATATCTCAGAGCCTGCATCATCTCACTGTGTCCTTTGATGCCTGTTTTCTCCACGTCCCAATGTGTCCCTGTGTTTTCCGGGTGTCCTCTGTGTCTCACCGCGTCTCCGCTTGTCTCCGCGTGTCTCCGCTTAGTGACGGGCGGCCTGGCGGAGCGACAGATCGCCTTCGTGTGCCGTGAAACCATCAAGGTAGGGCTGAAGATTTGACTCCCTCTCTCACTTTCTGTCACGGTGGCGAGATGTTAACTAGCTCGTCTGGTATACAGCAGGTCGTGGGTTCGATCCTGACCCTGACGCCTGTATATTTGGCATTTTAATTTTCTCCCCGTGGTCGTGTGGCTATTTATCCGGGTCCTCTGGTTTTTTTCCTCCACATTTAGAATCAACGTGCGTTTAGAGTATTTGACTGCTATACATTTCCAAGTGATAAACCGCTTTGTTGATGTATCATTTGTGTCCAGGTCACTTATGAAAAAGAGATATATTGCTCAGTAGGCCTTACCTGGTAAAATACAAAAACATATTTTAGTTTAGTTTCCTCTCCTGCTCTCCCTGTCCCTCTCTTTTTCCCTATTTTTGTCTCTCCCTTTATCTCGATCTCCATCTCTCGATATATCTCCCATTCTCTGCACCTTTCTCTCCATCCCTTTAATCTCGCTCTCATTTTCTTTCTCTCTTCCTTTCTCTCTCATATGTTCTCTCAACCTCTCTCATACTCTGCTGTGCTTCTATCTTACTCTCCCACTTTCCCTCTCCACTTTCACGCTCCTTTTATTTATCTCTCTCTTACCCACTAACCACTGGCGTGTCTCTCCCAGGGCTTGGCTTATCTGCACAGCAAGAACAAGATCCATCGAGATATCAAGGTGAAGCCGCTCACAGATCAGAGCCGATACAGAGCTACTGACCTCAAGGTCTTCGAGTATGAGGTCCAGTGTAACTGGGGTCAACTCAGCCCAATCATCATCATCATATTTAATATCACCACCTTATCAGCATCAACATTATCAATATCAGTAGAACAACCACCGTCATCAATCTCAATATCCCCACCATCACCACAGTCATCATCATCAATATAATCATTTCCTACATAATTATCAATATCATAATTTCTTACATCATTATCAATATCGCCACCACCTACTTGGTCATTATCAATGTCACCACCACCGTCATCGTCAACGTCGCTACTTGACCCCGTGGATTGGAAGCTACTGGAGGTGTTGGGTGAGACATCTGGCAGCGGGCATTTTGGATAATCTTGAGTTTGGAGATGAGAGCTTTAGGGAGGCCGCAGAGGAGCGAGTCGAAACAGTGCACTCTGTAAACATCAGCACCGGAAAGACAAATGCGGCAGACACGGTGTCCGTGGCTGCACCACCACCTCGTGCCTTAATAGGCGCTCGCTAATAGAATCTGCCCCGACCATGTGTGTGTGGCTAAACGGGAGATCTTGGTCTTTTGTGTTGCCAGGGAGCCAACATCCTGCTGACCGAGAGTGGCGACGTGAAGCTGGGTGAGTCCTCAACATCAAACCGTGATTTAGCGACGACGAGAATATTACACGAGTTGAGAGCACACGTGGGCTCGCGGTTTTACCCCAAGTTTTTATTTGCGTTTCACCCAGAGCTCAATTCTAGCCGGGTCTTTCCCGGGTCAGGCAATCCGGAAAATATTTCTGCATCTGGCACACCACATCCTGTATACTTCTCGCTATGGCTGTGGCTACTGCTAGCCACGTGCCACCGACTTAAGTCTACAAACGACCCAGAAATATATAATCCGTGAGAAAATAAAGCCCTGCAGTCTCTTTTTTGTTGACATTGCCATAAGATAGCACCTTACCACTCTTCTCACAGTCACCGCAGAAGAGTGATTGATAGCTGCAATAAAAGCGTGATGAGAGGGTGACTGACCGCCGGCGAACAAGCGAGTGACTGGAGCGAATCAGGGAACGCGGGGGGTCATGAATCGACGTGACCGCTTGACGTTTAGAACGTGTATGGGGCATCTGAACTGTGCGAGCGAGCGCGCGCGTGCTTGCGTGGTGAGTCTTGATACATATTGCGATGCCGTGTGACGTAGCGGACTTTGGGGTGTCCGCCCAGCTGACCGCCACCCTGGCCAAGCGGAAGTCGTTCATTGGCACGCCGTACTGGTGAGTGAGCCTGTTGCCTGAGCACACTACTACGCGGACGTGTAGCGGCCATTTTTCTCCATCCGCTGCTGGATGAGAGGGACTCCCAATGCCGTGCCGTTCGTGAGGGTTGTTTCGCCATACTTCACCATGCCGGTCGGTGCGGCTTTGGCGGAGGTTGGGAGGCAACTCGGAGTAGCACGGTTGGTGACGTAGAGTGCGATAGAAGTTCAACATACATAAACTAAAATATCTATATTTTACCAGGTTAGGCATACTGAGCTACATAGCTCTTTTTCAGAAGCGACCTGGCCACAAATGACAGCCCAATGAAGTGGCTTAACATGTGGAAATTTATAGCAACCAAATACTCTGAACGCATGTTTGTAAATATGGAGGGAAAAACCGGAAGACCCGGAGAAAAATCCATGCGACCACGGGGAGGACAAGCAAACTCCATATATACAGGCGTCAGGGTCGGGATCATACCCACGACCTCCTGTATACCAGGCGAGGGAGTTAACATCTCGCCACCGTGGTGCCCAAAGTCTGTGTATACATACATACGCACACAGACTTTGAAACGCACTACAAAGCGGCTGGCTCACCACGCTTCCTGGTTGAGCCTCCCACAAATGTGGCCACCTTGCCCGTCCCCCTGTGATCGATGGCCCCCCAGGATGGCCCCAGAGGTGGCGGCCGTGGAGAGGAAGGGCGGCTACGGACGGCAGTGCGACGTGTGGGCCCTGGGCATCACGGCCATCGAGCTGGCGGAGACGCAGCCGCCGCTCTACCACCTCCACCCCATGAGGTTTCGGCGTCGCCCACGTTACACGCCTCTCGCCCCGTCGCCTGCCGTCCTCGTTTTCCCAACTTCTGTATCTGCCATCCTCCACATCTCCTACGTTACAAATCTCTCAGCCTCCTGACAAACAGCCCACCCTCCACATCCGTACCTCCGATCAGCGCGGTTGGCTACGTATGGTGCGAAAGGAGTGTAACATACATCTCCTACCTTTCAAATCTTCTAACCTCCACATCTTCTGTCTTACAAATCTCCCACCTTCACCATCTCCTACCTTTCTCATCTCCCACCCTTCTCATCAATTAACCCTCTCCCCATCTTTCACTTTGTACTTCATCTTGCCACCCTACTCATCGTTTGAAGGCGGGAAGTGTAAATGCGGGAGAGCATAGAAATACAGCACAACGACGGATGTTGCTGTAGTTGCCCTCTGCTGCCGAGGTTCGTTACGGGAAACCGCCGTAGGTGGAGCGGCCTCTCCACGCACGCACGCCTTAACGGCGTCGCACGACACTTTGCATTTCACAATTTTTTCCGGCCGCTGCTAGACCGGAGTGGGGGGCACGTGACGAGTACAGCAGTAGCCACGACCATAGCGAGATGTATACTGGATGTGGTGTGCCGGGTGCGGCGGAAATATTTTCCGGATCGCCGACCCGGGCAAACACCGGCTCAACTGCATACCCAATAGTCATGGTGCGTCCCACTCCCCATTGCCTCCCCACCTGCCCCCCCCCCCACCCTCCCATCCCCCCCTGCCCCCCCACCGGAGTGCAGGGTCCTCTTCCTCATGTCCAAGAGCGGGTACCAGCCGCCCCGCCTCTCCGACAAGGCCAAGTGGTGAGTGTCTACCCCCCCACTCCCCCGCCCGCCCTGGCTGGCAGACACCCCCAGCGGTCCGCGCTCCTGGGGAATGTCATTTGTGGATGGGCGGCAGCGATATGTTCGGAAGCTAAATGCCAATTTTGAGGTCTGCTGGCCATGACGAGAGGGCTTCCAGGAGACAGTTTGTGAGTAGTTTTGCTGTTCCTCCCCCGTTGAAGGAGCACAGGCTACAGTGATTTGCTGTACGGCGCATAGTTTGAGTTACATTCGACATTTATTTGCGTTTGTGCAATGTTTTGGATTTCCCACGTGACACGGTTGTTTTTGTTCCGCTTTCTACTCGCTTAATTGCTGTACTTTGTTCTATGAGTTTGCCTTTTGTCATTGTGGTGACTTGGGCCACTCTTGCAAATGAGACTCGATGCTGGTCTATTGAGTTCTCACATTGGTTCATCAAAATATTTGCATTTTTAATTACTATCTGGTTCGAGCTGATGGTCATGTTAATTTGCAGGTATATTTGTTTAACCAGGTGAGAGCTATAAAATAGTGGGGCAGTCTCATTTGCAAGGGTGACCTAGGTCTCATTTGAAATCACGTCCTGATTAGTGCAAGCCATTATTTTGAATCATTACCTTGTCCGTGTACACTAACGAAATTTGTTCACTTTCAGTGCATGTAAAAAACACTTGAATCACTGCGATTGCTCCGTTATAGGGTGCAGCGGTGGCAGAGGGTTTAGCGTGCTGTACGGTGACGCTAGCAACCCGAGTTCGATTTCCCCGGCCGCGGCTCAGATCAGTGGCGAGTGATATCTGACCCGGTCCTGCCTGTCCCCCACCCCACTCATCGCCAACCCACACTGACCAGCGTGGTGAAGCATGGAAAAAAAAACTACATCCAGTAGGGGATTGAGAATGGATGGAATATTTTCTATTATTTTTATTTCATGGATTTGGTAGCCTTAATAGGCGCTCGCTAACAGCACCTACCGCGTAAATGTTTTTCAGCGTAACAAAAGGAGGGGACGTGGTTTGCTCGTGAGTTTTTATAAGTGGGGAGCGGGAGTGCAGTGGTTAGCAAACTGTGTTACGAACCCATGAACCTGGCTTCAATTCCCAGCCAAGGCGAACATCATCAGCGGTGAGTTATATCTGAACCCTAGGTCGATTCAGCCTTAAATAAGCACATAGCACAGTGAGCAAACATCAGCACTGGGAAGGCAAACAAGGATGATGGTGTGCAGTACTGACCACACCACCCCCTCGAGCGCCATTCCCACCTTAATTGGCGCTCTATAACAACAGTTGCACCAACAGTCTATTTGTAGTGCCGTGAATTTACTCGGACGACAACCTCCATTCTTTCACCGTCACTTTTATTTCCATCGTTCCGCACACACTATAATTCTCCTCTTCGCGCTCCGCCAACTCGGACACTCCGATCCACCTCAGCACCGTCCGCTCATCCTCCTTCCACACACAGTGGTTCTCCCTCTATCTCCTCACACACAGTGTCTCCACTATCTCTTCACACGCAGTGACTTCCTCTATCTCCGCACACACAGTGACTTGCCTGTCTATTCACACACAGTGACTCTAGCTATCTCCGCACACACAGTGACTCTATCTGTAACTCTCCCTGTACCTATCTCCCCCGTAACTACCTCTCTGCTAACGCTTACTCTCCCTTATCGCTATTTACTGTCCTTTGGGTTCGGCTCTCCATCTATTCTTCCCTAACATTTGCCAGCTCTCCTCTTCGTATCTCTCCACCTCTTGCCAACAACTGCCCAACAACAACTCAACTCCCCGTTCAAATCACCTAGCGTTTTATCCCCTTTCCAATTAGCCTTAATTAATTGCCACGTGGGGAACTGGCATTTTCCCGCCAGCTCGCACCTGCCCAACGGTCAGACTTCGCAACGCCTCCACTTAACGCTAACAGCCTCTCGACCAATCACAGCCCTCGTGCCATGACTCCTTTAATTACTTCGGTTTGTTTACGCCACCCGTGACTCCACCACCTGCTCGACCTTGTGTGACCCACTCTGCTTGTATGTCTGTATGTACTGTATGTGGCCAATTTACCTATGTGTATCGTTTACTCCACCACATATTAACCATTTCTCGTTCCGAGATGTCTGCAAGTTGCAGGGTGGGTGTCCCGTTCACCGCTGAATCTTGGAAAGCGCAAGCGGTTCAGCGTACATTTTATTTATCGAGGCATATCGCTGCGGTTTTTAAAGGCATTGTACTCATTGCAGAGAACCGTAGTGAAACGACTACACTCTATGATAGCTGGCGCCAAACTGTGCCACATGCCCTCCCGCATGCCCTTATGGGAGCCTCGGTAGCGATAAAGTAATTTATTTTTATTTTTTCTTCCGGTTTCGTTTTTATGATGTATAGGTACATCATCTGAATGGGAAAAGGGTAAATAGGCGCTCGCTGACAGCACTTGCACCAACGGTCTATGAAAGGCTACACGGGGGATCTTTGTTTGTGGGTTCTCCAGGTCCTCGGCGTTCCACAGCTTCATCAAGGCCACCCTCACCAAGAGCCCCGGCAAGAGGCCAAGTGCGGAGAAGCTCGGCACGGTGAGCGAGCTCCAGCGTTGGGCGGCAACACCGGGGCAACCACGCGCAGTGGAACAGCTGTCGAGTGTGCAGGCGGTGAAACCGCACCGGCACCCACACTGCCCCGTTTGTCCCCTGGTGTGCGCCGGGGGCAGCTCTGATGACAACGACGATGATGACGATGTCCCCCCCATTGAATATGGTCCTCCCTTCCCACAGCCATCTGTGCTGTCGACTCCCCGTCTTTTTTAAAACCCAGGCTCAAGACCTTCCTCTTTTCCCTCTCGCTTTCACGATCTCCTTCATACCAAGAGACTTCCCTTCCCCAGGATGCCCATAACATCAAATTGTATTGCACATGCATGGTTGGCTTGGCCCATTACTCATATGGAGCCAATACAATTAATATCACTTTGTGTTAAGTTTGCATGAACAATAATAATAATTTCAACTTGTAACACACCACCGCCCAGTATTCCACTCACTCTCGAAGAGAGAGAACGACTCAGAGGCACAGGAGCTACAGACAAGCATCAAAGGCAGCAACTGGGCGGTGAGCCGGCACTACCAACAATTTAATAAGCTCTGCGGTCCTCTATATGTTAAGATGTTTTCAGCCAATTAATGAGTGTTTACACGTGGAAGGAAGCCAGAGCACCCACAGAAAACCCCACACGTACGAGGGAGCAACACTCTATCCCATACCTGCGGAGCTAGGCTATGGCTCCTCGTCAACATTCATTAGTACTCCTGTGAAGGGACGGATCCCATTCAACCTCCCTCCTCGCTCCTGCCTATGACGAACTATCTCTTCTCTACAATATACACACCATACATATCTATATATATAACTATCTACGCAGGTCACTCTTGCAAACGAATGAGACTTTCCTTATTTCTTTGAGTTCCCTGCTGGCTAAACGAAAACACAACTACACGACCTCAACCGCGCTTTGCAAGTCAGATACCACGTTCGTCCAATCTGTGCCGACAATTGTAAACGATGTGCCGACGTGTTCCCCCCGTTGCATTTGAACAGCACGCTTGGTTCCGCCAGCCGCTGACCCGCTCGCTCACCGTGGACCTCTTGGAGTCGGCGCGGAGGCTGCAGCGGCCGCACGGCTCCCCCTCGCCGTCGCGCGGCTGGGGCGGTCGCGGGGGCGGCGGCAGCCTCGACACGGAGGAGGACGAGGAGGACGAGGAGGACGAGGTGATCGGAGGGACGATGGGTGATGGTTGACCGTGCTGGAGACGGGGTGGGGGGGGAGGGGGGGGGTGGCGATGGAGGGGGAGGGACGGTGGGAGATTACCGCGGACGAAATCCTCCCCTCTGCAAGTTTAATCTGTGGGACGTTCCAGAACGAGCCCGATCTCGTCAGATATATTAACCTTATGGTGGGACTCCGGGTCCCATAAGCCGACCGGCTCTCGCATGAGCTGCGTTGCGACGTCATTTTATGTCTGTTGGAGGCGAACGATAGGACAATCTATTCCTCTCAATGAGCTCTACACGATGCGCTAATCAAAGTTTAAAAGTTTTGTTTCTTCTGCGCATTCGTCCTCGCTGCGCTTGGACGACACGACAACAGAATGATCCGCGCCAGGTGGGTCGCGGCGTTTATGTGCGCGGTGGGACGGAGTGGACAAAAATAAATGAATTAAGATTTTGACTTCCGTTTATTCGGGACCCCGGGGTCCCGCCATAAGGTTCATTTGTTGGAAGCTAAGCAGGCTTTTGGGCCTCTTTGCGCTTGGATATTTCTTAGATGGGTGCCCGCCGTTGCTAAAACAGGTGTCGTGGGCTTGTGCCGGAGCAACGTGGTGGTGGCAGAGAGCGGTGTGGCGATATTCGTTGTTGTGCTGCACTAATGTCCACGCCACCCACCGTCACAAACCCACGTTGACCAGCTTGGTGACGTATGGTCAAATATTCCCCGCGACCCGCACGGCGTTGGGAGGCCCTCATTCAGTTGTGGATTCACAACAAGAGCTTTACACGCACGTGAACAATCATAACGGTACGAACGATGTAACCAGGGAAAGCCTCACGAAATCTCAAGACTCTTTTTCAGGAGGGTCCTACTGCTTTCAAGATGTTTGGCCATTTCGTTGAGTCTCTTGCAAGCACGAGGAAACCGGATTGCCCCGGAAAAAAAAAACCTGTCATGCACCCGAGAAGATAACAATCGCATGTCTTACAGGTGGTTTCATAGACTCACTTGCTCTCCTGCCATCTCCTAGCCACCTTGCAGCCCAGATGGGTTAGAAATTTCACAAATCTCCACGTGGTCTACCAACCGTTGCCTCCAAAGCACCGGATCTCAGGCGTGCGTCACCACACCTGGTACACGCTGGGTAATGTTTATCAGTGGGATGCCCATTGTCGTGTGGTGGTGATGTAACCGAGCGACACTGAATTTTCCGCGAGTTGAAGAGGTTTATGATTCCAGCCTTCCAGGCATCGTCTGCTTCACGAGGGAACGTTAAATGTCCCGTGGCACGATTTCAAAAACAGTGGGCCAGGTGTGTTGGCGTCATGATTCAAATATGGATAATTACAGCGCAAATTACTCGGTCGGAAAACACTTCGCAATCGTGTTGTGAAACTTCGCAAAACCATCCCTAAAAAAGAGTCTTGAGACACTCTAAAACTATTAAACATTTTTTTTCATTTTACCAGGTGAGGCCCACCGAGCTAAAAGCGACCTGGCCACACATGACAGCTCAACCAAGTGGCTTGTCACGTAGAGATTTATAGAAAATACTCTCAATGCATGATTCTAAATGTGGAGGGAAAAACCAGAGGACACGGAGAAACATCAACCATGGGGAGAGAGACACCGCAAACTTCGAATATACAGTAGGTGTCAGGGTCGGGATCGAACCAACGACCTCCTGTATACCAGGCGAGGTAGTTAACATCTCCTAACCACCGTGGCGTTTCGAGAATTGTCCGTGGAAGATGAGAATCAGGGGGCCACACAATCATTATTGCAAATGAGACTAACTCTCTCTCTCTCTCGAGGTCTACCCTGGGTAAAATAAATACTGGAAACTTGAATGTGACAAACATTTCTAAGTAGCTCACCTAGTAAGCATGGAACGACACGTCCAATTGTGCAATTAGAATAAGTTACTTACAATTTATGCATATTGTAGGCAAATGATCTGTTAAACTTAAGTTCATGAAATGAAAGAGGCCAAACTAGACTAAGAGAACGACTAGTTAACTTCACAGACGAAGGCTTGACTAAAGTTCCACGAGTAGTCATCGCCTAAACTACGGCTAAGATGAGAAACGCAGACGCCATTAACGCTGGGCTGTGCAGTGGCGAATCCAAGGAGGCAGTGATGGGAGCAATCACCGCCCCCCCCCAGCCCTCCACCTTTCTAGGCTGCTCGTGTTGCGGCCGAAACGTCGTGAGAATTTTATTTTATTATGTTTTATTTTTATTATTTTATTTCCATTCTACGTGACTTTACCGAAAGAACCAAGAAGAGAAAATACATTGAGCGTTGTTTTTTTTTTAGTTACCATCACTAATGTAGGGGCCCATATTTAAAATGCTTTATATTTCAAGACCGCCCCCCCACCGCCCCCCCCCGCCCTCAACTGCCCTACATGCCGTGCCTCCAGAGAGCCAGCACGCTGTTCCGCAGCGACACACTCAGTGAGGCTTTCCTGGGCAAATGAAGGGGAATTAATGAAGCATGGATAACTGCGATTGCGCCAATCGGCGCGACGGTGTCGGTCGAGTACGCTAACGAGCTGCCTCATCTCTTTAACATCCGCCCTTCGCCAATCAGAACCCACACGCCGACGGCCTGCAGACCATCCGCCCGGCCACAAGCGCCGCGACGCCCGCTCCCTCCGACGCTGCCAAGCAGCCTTACTCCACGGACACCATGGGTGAATACCGCACGATACCGCTCGAGAGTTGGGGGGGGGGGGGGGGGGGGGGTCAGGGGCCACGTCCGCCGCGGAGGTCGGCTCGTGTGCAGGCGCCGCGTACGATCGTTGCGTCGTGGGACCGTGGATTGATCCTGGTTGATGATGATGCTGACCATTTGATACAAAAGTGGGGGAACGGGGGACCTTAACACGCACCGCTCCGCAATGCAATAGCATGGCCCGCGAGCGCTGCTGCGCGGTGCTGTTGGCGCGACGACGATGCTCATCTTTGTGCCGCTCGTCTACCTCCCGCAGTGTGGCTGAGCGAGCCGCGATCGCCTGACCCCGAATCAAACGGCACGATCAAGGTGTGTGGCTACCGAGGACTCACGGCATTGCTCACAGCTACAACAATAGCAGCAGCAGCAGCAGCACCAGCAGCAACAGCGTCAAAGTGAATTCGCTTACTGAAATATTTTACCTTCATGTTTGTCTACAGTTATGGGTGCTTGCTAACAGCACTTGCCCCAACATTCTGTTAAGGCTATACGGGGGATCTTTGTCTACAGTACACACACAATCACTTTACCTGCACTCCTCTACCCATTTCGCCTTCGCTCCTTTACATCGCAAAATCACATTTGTAATGCGCCCATCACGTAACCAAGAGCTCAGAGCGTGGAATTTCTTAGGATGGGCGGGAGGGCACGGCGGGACTGAGCAGGGGAGGAAGAGAAAGGAAGCAACTCAGGGGCACCGAGGACACGGTTGCAGAGAACAGATTTGAGGAGACACCTGGAAGCTCTTCCCTTGTTCGTTCTGCTCAGTTCTCAGGACGAGTCTCAGCGGAACCTACGGAGCGCGGGGAGTCTGGAGAGTGTGGGGACTCTAGGCCCGTGCCTCGTCGCTCCTCCTCGCTACTGCGGCCGGCCCCCATGGGGCCCACGGCCCCCGTGACTGCCAGCTCCTCCTCCTCCCGGAGCCTCCCGGCGCGGCTCTCCGGGCCCCGGCCCCTCCGCTCGTGGCCCCCGCTCTTGGGCCCCAGGGCCCCGGCGTGGAGGTCGGAGGTCGCGGGCGGCGGGACGCCGCGGCAAGACGTGCCGGGTGGCGGCGGCAGGATGGGTCGGCGCTCGGAGGGCTCGGGCGGTGAGCGGCGGCACAGACACCCTCGCCGTTTCAAAGGCGCCGATGCCGCAAGTGGTGATGTTTGGACAGCGAAGGGCGCGATTGTAACCGTAGAGTCTGCTGTTATTGTTCTCTCTCGTTCACTCTGTTCACAAGTTGGAGACTCGAGCTGGTGGTCGAATGCAGAGGAACGGGGCACGGGAGGGAGCAGTTCGTCCCCTAATACCTCTGTAAGATACCACCCGCGCGCGTGTAATTGTGTGCATGTTAGCGGTCGAAGATATTTAGGCCTTAGTTTGCTCTCAATTTCCAAATGTCTTGTCATGATCTACAAGGCATAATGATCGTTGATATATATTTGCCTTTTACAGAATATCCGATGAACAGTGTTTATCTGGTCAATTATACAGAAACCTTTCCTAAACCTCAATGGTTGGCCTCGAGATTCTTGTTATTCTAGATGTGGTGACATCCATTTAATCTTTTCGTTCTCGGAATTTGAATATGTTGCCTAAGAGTATGGATGGATTCTTGCAGTCACGAAAGCTTTAAATCTAGGAATGTTGCCTAAGAGTCTAAATTGGCCACCTGCTGACTTAGCTTTTATTCGTAAACTATTTAGGGTTTTTTTTCTTCCCTGTGAGTAGCGTTGCCCTCTCCATGGCTTCGTTGAAGTGCACTTCTGAATCGCACTGCGGTCTGTGATCGATTCTCACGTTGACTTTTAAGCGAGGGTGTTCTCTTCTAACTCACGCCCGTCTTTCTCTCTTGGATTTCAGAAAGTGCTCAGCAATGGGCTTCCTCCCACCCCTGCTGTCCATGTGAGTTCTGCGACCTGTATGTATTTACGGTGCGTTGGACTTCTTTCACACCGTACGTAGCCATCAATCTAACCACGAAAAGCAGAGCTCCAGTGGCTTCCTAATAGCGGAAGGAAGAAGGTTCCAGACAGACCACAGAAGCGCATCTGATCTCTGACGTCACCACGGAGGCGCATCGAGAAACTTCTCAAGGAGAGGCAGTCACAACATGTAAAAAATAAATAAATATTTCTTAAATGGCTCTTCATTCATAATATAAAAAAAACGTATTATCTTTGCTAAAATATGAGTAAAATACCAATGTTCAGTGTCTAAAGGGGGGGGGGGGGAGAGTCAATTGCTGCCTTCGCCATTACCTCACCATCAGTTACCGCACCGTGCCGTGCTGTGGCGAGCAGCTTGGGCCCTGGGTGCGAGGGATAGAATGGGGCCCTCCTTCTTTCTCGCCCGGAGCCTGGACCCCCTTCGGCCAGTGGGTTCCAATTTCAGCTGCATTGCCTGCACACGCGATAGCTCCCTTGACTTTTTGCCGGTTAGTTTGTTGCCCTTCCCACGCACCTCCGACGAGCACGGTTGGCTACGTTGGGTGCGAAAGAAGTCCAACGACGTTCGTGCACAATGAAGCCACAGCCATGGCGGGAAGTACACGGGGTGTGGTGTACCGGGTGCCTACATCTTCACGATTGTTGCGCGCGTTGCCGTCGCAGATGGGCGCGTGCTTCTCCAAGGTGTTCAACCGCTGCCCGCTGACCGTGCACCACGCGACCTCGTGGGTGCACCGCGACACGAGAGGTCGGCAAGCGTCGATTCGACGCAAGGAAACTCCGGACCGGTTTCGACACGCTCTTGCTGCGCCTCGTCAGCAGCAGCAAGAGCTCGGGCTTGCTCGAAGCAATGCTGCCGAAACTGCCAGGGCATTATCCTCACATTGGCACGGCCGCCCCCCCCCCGACCCCCCCACCCCCCCCCCCCCCCACCACCACCAGCCCGCTTTGCGAGACGTTGTTCTTTACAAAAGAAATCTATCGGGTTTATTATAACGCCATCTTCACCCGGTTATTGCACGTACAACCAAATGCTCGGAATGTGACAAAGACAGCAGCCTCTGACTTCCCACCAGCGCACTGTTGCGCCAATTCTCTGCTGATACTTGGCATTGGATGCCTCCGCCGACTGACCCCTAGTGGGGACAAACGGAAGTTGTCCTCGCATTGGATATTACTGTCCGCCAATGCCAATGTGAGGATAACACCCCTGGCATTTCGTCAGCATTGAGCCTGAGTGTGCTGCTGATGGGACATGGTAGCCGCGTGTCGAAACTGGTCCGGAGTTTGCTTGTATTGAACCAATGCTGCTGAGACGATGCACTCCCGGTGTGGAGTGTGGGAGGTGGCGGGGGTAGAACCATTAGGTTGCATAAGAGATACATTTACGCAATCTCATGGAGCGAGAGGAACGGGGATGTGTTGTCTGCGTTGTGAGGGTAAGGAATTGCGTGCTTGTTTTCCTTCCTCCGCACCTCTGATTAGCACGGCTGGCTACGTACGGTGCGAAATAAGTTTAAAATACGTACATACTTAAATGCCTCGGAAACTCACAGCGCCATATGTTGATCTCATCTCAACCTCGGGCAGACAGGATAAACGGTGCGTGGTACACGATGAACAAGACAGTCGGTACAGACGAGACTAAATTATATCATCGAGACCGAGCGCTTACCCAGGCAATCGGAGAGTCCGATTCTTAAACGAAGAACGTGATCTCGGATTGTGACGACGCTCCGAAATCGTAGGGATGGTGAGTGGGGGAGGTGAAGGGTTTCATGGTCCACCCCTCTCTCCCCACACTGGCTCACCAATTGGTGCTCGCTAACAGCACTTGCCCTAACAGCAGTGTTAAGGGCGGTACGGAAGATTTTTACGTTTGTGTGTGCGTGTGCTATGAACCTGGCATCTCAAGTTAAAATCCCACTCAGGACAAATATCAATGGCAAATATTTCAACCGGTCCTTGGGCCTCCCCTAGTTCGACTCAGCCGCAAATGGGTACCTGGTGCGGTGTGTAAACATCAGCACTGCGGAGACGAAGACAGCCGGGCGTGGTGCCGGCCACCCACCCCGTCGTGTGCCGTGCCGGCCTTCATGGGTGCCCGCTACCAGCACTTGCCCCAAACAGCGTGGTAAAGGCTATACGGGGAATCTTTGTCTTTGTATAGACCAGCACGTGCTCCTGGCGTGTGAAGAGGGAATCTACACGCTCAACCTCAATGAGCTGCACGAGGCGACTCTGGAGAGGGTAACCATTTTTCACACGCACTTGCATGCTCCCATAACGCTGGTTACTTTGGGTTAGATCGCGGTGATATAAATGTGTCGTTAAACCCGCCACCAACCGACACAGCCAATTAGTTAGGTTTGTCACGTAAAAGATCATTTACGATTGTAAATGTTGTGGCTTTGCTCTCCAACACACCCGTGTGCTGTACTAGTAACGAATTTGGCATGTTCTGTTTACATAACAAACCTTACTAATTGGCTTGTCGGGTGGTGGCGGGTTTAACGATAAATGTATATATTTACGCGATGATATTTGTCGCGAAAGCCTACGTGTTAAACTTACTTGCATACTCATTGACATATACTCAATTATTTTTTTTATTTAAAGCTTTCGTTACTGCAGGGATTAATATTCTTGGTTCTTTCGGTAAAGTCACGTAGAAGGGAACCAATAAAATCATAAAAATATAAAAAATAAAATTATCACGACGTTTCGACTGCAACACAAGCAATCATTATCAGGTGTGAAAACCACAGCAAGAAAATTTGAAAAAAGGTTTGTCGAGCAGCGCGATATAACCACTACACGAACGCTCCTCATATACTCACACACACAATACACACATACATGGTCACGTGACGGCACCTCAGAAGCAGTTCTTTGACGTCTCCTTCCGTGGGCTGTTTTCTAATACACGTGTGACGGCTGTGCGAGGGTCCAGAATATTAAACACATCTTTGTCTCGTGACCAGATGCCAATAACACAATTAGAATCGGAATACTTTAGCAAAAAATATATATAATTGTTAAACATTTATTTTAAAAAGGGACAAAAAGTTAAATGATAGAAATTAGACCGTAAATACTATACTGGTGAAAAATGCCAAAACTGTGACTTTGAAGTGAACGGTAGAGGGAGAGGTGGATTGATTGAATGGTCACTGAAACCTACAATTCCAATTGATGGCAGTGGTATTTTTCACCGCAGTGGCACACGGGGGCGCTACATTTCTCACCGAAAATGTTCCGGTATATTTGAGGTTGGTGGCACGTGGCTCGAAGCCAGAGCCATAGCAAGAGGTTATACTGGATGTGGTGTGCCAGGCGCGGAAATGAATCCCTGGCGGTGAATTCCTCCCCGCCCCTTTTGTGTCGAGTGCAGCTGCACGGGCGGCGATCCACGTGGCTCTACGTGTGCAGCGACGTTCTTGTGTCCGTGTCCGGTGCGTGCGTCGCCGTCGCTATGACTGTCCCACCACAAAGAGAAAGGTCCCCCTAAAAGCCTTAACAGACCGTTGAGTCGACCCAGGGGAGGCCCACACCGGTTCAGATATTCATCACTGATGTTGGCGAGTGGGTATCAAACTTGGGCCCGCCGGGGTTTCGTAGCGCAGTGCGCTACCGCTCCCCGTTATCCCGCCGTTCTCACCACTTCGCGTACGCTGGGGCCAGCAGTCGTGTAGCAATGGGTGCTGGAATGGGCCCTGGTTTGCAAGGATCTAAATGTTGTCCATCCCCCCCCTGTGTGATTTGAATGTTTTTGCCTATCAGAATTAGAATCCTTATTTAGACTGCAGGAGGAATCCGATGAGCTATGAAGCTTTTTTTCACACCTGTCGAGTATGGGCGGTTCAGCAAGTTACAACAGCAAACAATACGAAAAATGATAGGAGTGTAAAATAGAGAAAATGGTAAGCGAGTCGCTAAAAAAACTACGTTCATTAGTTATACAAATCGAATGCATCAAGATTGGGAAAGGCCGCGAAAAACAACAAAACAGTCCCAGACCACACCAGGATAACACCACACAGCAATAGTCCCTCTATAAAATGGCACATTAACATTGAACTATCGATACACAGGCAATGGTCAAAGCCCGTGCCGATACGCACCCATCGGTCACTCACCTGTGCCCTCCCGGTGTTCGCCCGCAGGCAAATCGGCACAGCTGTACTCGCACTGCCTCCCAGGGCTGTTCGCTCGCGCTCGCAGGGACAGGCGAGTGACGGCGCACATCTCGGCTCACCTGGGGCTCCTGCCCAGGTACCCCGGCTCACCTTTTACACATGCACCTGTCTGTGTGTGTGCGTGCGGAGGAGAGGCGTTTGCACCTTTCCGTTTACCGCAGCTCATATGCACACAACAGCCGCCATTCGGCAAATAAGTGACGGTGCCAGGCTGCTGTGCACTTTGAGGCATTCATGCGAAGTGTTAAAGGCTTGCCGGCATATGACAGAACAGACCCAGGTGTAATGGACTTACTGAGATGATGGGCAGGTACACCGCCTGTGCTCTCCACTGTGGCAACAGCTCACGCTCATACACACACACACACACTCTCTCACATGCACAAGCTGTCATGTTAGTGAGCGCCTATTATGACCAGCACAGCACAACAAACGTAGGTCTCACATGCTGGAAAGCTATGCGTTTAAAAATAATAATTCACAGCCCCTTTTTTTGCCAATCCGTTGCTGCATGACGGCGGCATCTCCACACAGTGCCGATTTTGTGGGTTGTTTGACCATAATTCACCACACTGGTCAGCAGGGCCGTCCATAGGGGGTCTGCGAGGCGCCGGGGCAAACCCCACTGTGTGGGCCCCACGACTCCTTCAAACTAAACCGGAAGTGTTACAACTGACACCGTGACGTCAAACCGCGGGGTCCCCCCAAAGCGCGGGGCCTAGGGCAGTCGTCCTGATTCGCCGAACCCTAGGGACGGCTCTGCTGGTCAGCGCTGGTTGGTGAAATTGGAGCCTCGGACCTATTCAGATTTCACTCGCCACAGATTTCAGCCATGACCGGAAATCGATCTTAGTTTGCCCAGGTTTATCCCGCAGTGCACTAACCATGTCACCACTGCTCCACCCGTGAGACGGCATTTTTTTTCTTCTGGCATCTTCCTAAGTCACCTGTGTGTGTGCGCGTTTGTGTGGCCTGCAGGAAGTTCAATCTCTCAACCAAGGTCCCCAATACCAAGGGCTGCCTGCGGTGTCGAGTCGGTGAGAGAGCTCACAAGACCCAGAACTCTTGTCTCATCCAAAACAGCACCCTCTTGTTCCACTTAATAACTGGACACACAGTGCATTTATTTGGTGAATTGTTCAACGGATGTATTTATTCCATCCGTGTATTTTCCCAGGTCTCAATGGGCGCTCAGCTAGTCCTATTGCAGGTCTTTCATTACTGTATCATTTTAAAATGAGGTCTTCGATTGATGACGTTGATTCATTATCATTGATTAATAGTTCCATGAATAACATTGATTTATTAAATAAGTTTTACTTGATGGAAACAAAAAATATGTATTTGTTGATTGATATTGCTGAATTTGTCCGAATCAATTTCGTGACCACTTGCCGGATTAAGTGACTGAGTGTCTGATGTGTGTCTTGCCCCGTGTCCTTCGTCGGTGCTCGCTAACAGCACTTGCCCCAACAGTCTGTTTCGCCCCCTCCCCCTCTCCCCCGTGTCCGCGTCGTCACCCAGTGGAGAATGTGCACACGGAGAGCCGCTTCCTGTGCGTGGCGCACTCCGGAGGGGTGCGTGTGCTGCAGTGGTACGACCCGCTCCACAAGTTCCTGCTCATCAAGGTTGGGGGGGGGGGGTCTGGGTGTGGGAGGGGGGCGGTTCCCGGGGTCATACGCAAAAACAGTTCCAGCACCGTCGATTAGTAGTGTAGTGGTCAGCGCGCTGCGCTACGAACACGGCAACCCGAGTTCGATTTACACTTGTCACCAACAATGAGGCATTAGACTCTTTGGTTCTTTCGGTAAAGTCACGTAGGTAGAAAAATAATAGATCACGACGTTTCGATCGCAACACAAGCAATCGTCATCAGGTGGGACAACCACAGCAAGAAAAAAAACTGCTGTCACGAAAGCTTCAAATCAATCAGGCATTAATCTTTGAACCGTTCCTGGGCCTCCCCTCGATTGACTCAGCCTTAAAATGAGTAGCTCGTGCGGTACGTAAATATCAGCACTGGGGAGACAAAGGCAGGCTTCATAGGTACTCGCTACCAGCACTTGCCCCAAGAGTCTGTTACGCGTGAGCTATGTTAACACGGCCACGTGTAGTCAAACTACCCCCCCGCCCCTGCCCCGACTGCCCCCTGGGCCGCTGCAGCAGGTGGAGGTGCCGCTGCCGAGCCCGCTGCGCGTGTTCGAGCCGCTCGTCAGCCCCGACAGCGACTTCCCGGCCGCGTGCGTCGGGGTGGCGCGCGGGGAGGCCCCTTCCTCGGGCCGCCCCTTCCTGCTGCGCTCCCTCGACCTCGGCTCCAGCCCCGCAGGTGCCGCGTCATTGCCCCCCCCCCTCCCCACTCATCCCACCCGTGCCACATCAGGGTTTTGCGTGCCCGCGGGTCCTCGTCGTTCAACGGTGACGACGGTCAGCAGTGGCGCAGGGCGGTCAGTGCCGTGGGCCCTGGTGCGAGGAGCGGGCAGCCACGTGGCCGAGTGGCATGGCGTTCGCCCGCACGTTGCAAGGGTTCGACGTTTGAACACCGTCTGCTTCATGGCGGACGTTAGAGACCCCGTGACATCACTCGAAAGGGAGTATAGCATTTGTGCTGTTGTCACGGTGCAAAAATTTGAATATTTTTAACAAATTAGTTAATTGGGCAAAACAAGATAACAGCATCACCCCCTACTCGCAGACTACACTTCTCTGTGAGACATAGCGCCTTAATGATAGCTTTGCAGGTTAGCAATGGCATGATTACGAAATTTACTAATTTTATGCTACTCATAAAGACGCCCCTTCCTGTCTAAATTCCTCCCCTCACCCCCCATCTGAGCTCAGCAACAACAGCTTACAAGGCTATATGGTGGGATCTTTGCGTGTTTCACGCTGTTTATGTGTGTTATATGCCGCATGTGTGCTATGCTGTTGAGCTGGTTACACCACTGGTAAAAATTGCCAAAGCTGACCTTCACCCTAACCATGGCTGTGCGAATGGGGCCTGTGTGGACCGCCTGCAGGAATGACGGATCTGGCGGCCGAGTGGCATGGCAGCGATGAGGGCGGAGGAGGAGGCGGAGGAGGAGGAGCTGTGGAGGAGGACGAAGGCCTCATTCTTGCACAGCTCGGGAGGGACCGACTGCTCGTCTGTGCTGGCGGTGAGCCCCAGACTCCAATCACTTGTCCCTCTCGGGCGTGTTTCCGGGTCGTACCTCGGAGCGCTGCGGTGCACAGCCGCGTCCGGGGTGATTCCACGGAATAGCGCGAGCAATGCAGACGTAATACCATTGCGGACATTTCCACAGTTCTGGATACTGCCCGATGATGCTGGTTGTAATCATCAGTGAAACATCATACCAATTTTAATGTTTTGGATTGCTGAAGCAGTCATAATTTGGCACTTTTGTTTACGTGACAACTTTATTAATTAGCTGCGTCGCGGTGGAGGTGATTTTATAACACACATTTTATTTACACGTTCCGACCCAAACCATCCATTATGAATCATTATCACTGTTGATGCCATCATGAGCGTGGTTGTCAGTGCCAGCGTTACGGCAGTGGCATCGCGTGTGAGGAAACGAGCGGTAGTATCGTGGTTAGCGCTACGCTGCGCTACGAACCAGGCGACCGAGTTAAATTCCCGCTCGTGGCCAACACCAGTGACGATTATCTGAACCAGTCCTGGGCCTACCCTACGTCGACTCAGCCTCAAATGAGTACCTGGTGCGGTGTGTAAAAACATCGCCACTGGGTAGGCAAAGGCGGCCGGGCGTGGTGTCGGCGACCAACCCTCTCGTGTACCGTGCCGGCCTTCATAGGTGCTCACTAACAGCACTTGCCCCAACAGTCTGCTAAGGCTATGCGGAGGATCTTTGTCTTTGAGGAAAGGAATGAGGCCCTTTGACTAATTTCTCCCATCTTGTTATCCCAGGACCTGGGCCCCTCTGGTATGTGGGCCACCGGTGCAGTTGCATTCCCTGCACACCCGATAGCAATGCCACTGGCAGGCATATTGTAAGCCTATGTAGGCTACATACATAGCACTATGTAGGCTACATACGTAGCACTATGTAGGCTACATACGTAGTACTATGTAGGCTACATACATAGTACTATGTAGGCTACATACATAGTACTATGTAGGCTACATACATAGTACTATGTAGGCTACATACATAGTACTATGTAGGCTACATACATAGTACTATGTAGGCTACATACATAGTACTATGTAGGCTACATACATAGTACTATGTAGGCTACAAGCCTACTACGTGGGCTTATCGTGTAGGCTGACAATAAAACGAAAAAAATCCTAATCGTGATTCTATGTTACACTTTGCAGTTATAGATTCTCCGCTCACGTTTACCGATTCCCGCTCACGACCAATATCGGTGGGAAATATTTCAACCAGTCCTTCGCCTCCTGTAGGTCGTCGTCGCGTTAAATGAGTACAGCACCTGGTAAACATAGGCACTGGGGAGGCAAAGGCGGCTGGACGTGGTGTTGGCCACCCATCCCCTCGTGTGCCGTGCCGACCTTTATAGCTGTTCGCCAACAGCACTTGCCTCATCAGTCTGTTAAAGGCTACGCGGGGGATCTTTGTCTTTGTGTGCAGGCAGTGCGAAGTTGATCAACCTGCAGGGACGCCTGCACAGGCCCCGCAGGGGTCTGACCCCCGAGATGGAATTCGACTTCAAGGTTGAGTCCATTGGTGAGCTTTGGTTGCCATTCCATCACCAGTCTCGTCCATTGGCCGCTATCCCTCGCATTGATGCGGCCCCACCCAAGCCCACTCACTTTCCTTAACGGTCTCGAATTGTATTGTTCCCTGATCCCTGTATTTATCTTTCTCTCTATTCTTCTTTGCGTATTTTTCAGCTTTTGTTCCATATTCTTTTATCGCTATCCTTGTCTCTGAGCCACATAACCATAGCGGGCAATATGCCCTGCTTTCCAGAAGCCACTCCATCCTGCTGTGATGCGCGTCCTTATGTCGTCATTTTGATCCCGATCCACCGTGAACACTTGCGCAAAATTTTATCCTTCTGTTCGCTCCTGGAACATTATTAGAATTTACCTCAGCCACTCAGTTACGACTGGCCACGGTGTACGTATCGGGATGCCCGTGCATTGTTTTGCGTGCAGTGTCCCTGCAGGACAGCGTGCTGGCCTTCTGGAGGCACGGCATGCAGGGCAGAAGCATCTCCACCGGCGAGGTACCCAGCCCCATGGGCAGTTCTAGAACTCTCAAACAGGGGGGTAGCAGTGGGGGCCGGTCTTGAAATATAAAGCTGATCATTTAAAAAAAACGCTCAATGTATTTTCTCTGTTCATTAATTACCAATAAAATACCAATTGTTGGGGTTTTAAGGGCTGGGGGGGGGGCGGTGATTGCTCCCATCGCTCCCTCCTTGGATTCGCCACTGCGCAGCCCAGCGCTAATGGCGTCTGTGTTTCTCATCTTAGCCGTAGTTTAGTGGATGACTATCTGTGGAACTTTATTCAAGCCTTTGTCTGTGATGTTAGTTCGTCGTTCATCATATAATTTGCGTACAATATGCATACATTACAACTGATTCTAATTGCACAATTTGATGTGTCGTAAGCGTAAGATATCAGTTGTAATCAAACAATGCATGCATCGGTCCATGCTTACTAGTTAAGCTACTTACATTTTTCGTCACATTCAAGTTTCTAGTATTTATTTTAACCAGGTTAGACCTCAAGATAGAGGGTTAGTCTCATTTGCAACACTGATGGTTTGACCCGACGATTCTCATATTCCAGGTTACCCAGGAAATCACGGACAGGAGCCGGATATTCCGGGTGCTCGGAACGGAAAGGTTGGTCTCACCAACAACAATAACTGCCATTCGCCACTAAGTGGCGATGATGTCACTACGGCGTTCGTGCCAGGCTCGATGCACTTTGGGCCACGAGAAGTATTGAAGGCATGCTGTTGGCATGAGATCACGGGACATACCTAGATGCCATAGGTTGACTGAGATGACTGGCTGATGGCCTTACCGGTTGCGGTGGCACACACGACTGCACTTGGGCTATTTGGAGGCAATGGTTGATGGATCACATAGCGATTTGTGAAACTCATAAAATCTCCATACTACTGTGTAGGTTTTTGAAGATGTGTTGTATAGTTCTCTGATGTGTTTTCTCGTGGTACCGTGTGTTATTCATCACGATGTCCGGTGTTACGCCCCACCTACTGGGGCCTTGTTCAGGCATTGAATCAAGCAGCTCACATTCCCTCTTGATTATATACCATTTCCGGCTGCTGGTCGTGATGACTGTAGGCTGCTCAATGTTGTTTGTCTCATATTGGAGGAAAAACTGGAGGACTCAAATAAAGCTCACCAGCCTGCTGCGTCTCAAAGTGACCAGCAGCTGAAAATACAGCAAGTGGATTTATCAATAATCCATCTGTGCGGAGCTTTGAGTGCTTCCCCATGTTTGCATCGAATTTATCCAGGTACTCCGCTTTCCTCCCATATGCACGTATGTTGAACTTCTTTCACACCGCATGTAGCCAAACGTGCTAATCGGAGGTGAAACGTTTCAATTACTGGACTCGCGATACAGGAAAAGGGTAGGGGCTATTGAGTCGTGGGCAGGATTGTCGGAGGAGTATGTGGGGCCTATGATTAATAAGCGGGGCTAAGATAATTGTGAGGCCACTCACCGTGTGTGTGGGCAAGTGGGTGGGCTCGACAGAGGGAGGGGCAGCCAGCTCACCAAACGTCCAGGTTGAGTCTACCAGATATTTTGTAGCCTTAACCTTCACAGGTGCTCGCTAAAAACAGGAGTTCATCATATATGTGTGTGTGTGTGCAGGTTAGTGGTGTTGGAAAGCAGAGACGTGAGCGAACCAGCGGGCCCTGGGAATCTATACATCCTCGCTGGTCACGAGAACAGCTATTAGAGATGTATCATGTGAAGCAATGCAAATAAATACAAAGCATGACTGCCGTTGCTGTGTGCGAGTGCTGCTAATTTATTACGAGGTTTCACAGTACGTTATGGAACGGGAGCGTTGGTGCAATGGCTAACATTCTAAGATTGTACCGTATCGTGTAAAAGGTGTTGTGGAAACTCTAATCGCCAGGGATGTCGGCTCTGGAATTTACCTCAAGTCACCGGGTTCATAGCCCAGTGTGCGAATCATCATACTATGCCATCCCAAATTAACAAAAAAAACATGTGACTGAAATTCGCTCCATGCACAACTGTTCATAAACACCAGCTCTTACATTTGCATATGTCTCCATCACAGCAGGCGTATTATGTAAGAGATCAAAGTGCTTGACAATACATTTTAAATTGCCTTTTCCTCCCATTAAGCTCTAAGCCCGTGACTGATAGCCCGAGACACACAAGCCAAGAACGTATCTCATCATCATTATCAACAGCAGCCATGTTCTACAAAATGCTGGATGAAGGCATCCCAACGTCATCGCGGTCCATCACGGTCCTGCCGATGCCACAATCCATTTCACTCCTACACAAGAAACTGATCTCATCGCTTCATCTCCACGGGGGTCATCCTCTCGATCCGTCGTGAATCTCGACCACTGGCTGCTACCATCATCCTATCTAGGGGGCATGTCCTGCCCAAATCCACTTTTCATGACTTTCAATGTGATGTACCTTGCATGTTCTCAAATAGAATGTATTCATCTTCATTTTTTTGGGTATTTTACCAGGTAAGGCGCACTGAGCTATATAGCTCTTTTTCAAAAGCATATCGGCATATTCTGCATATTCTCTGCATTTTCCAGATCAACGTAATGTACACACGTCATCTATATAAATAAAGAAAATCTGAATATATGTATGTCTCAAAAACCTCTTGGGTACTTTCCGATAAGGTAGAAAGCTGACATTTTGTGCGTATGTCGCTGTTAGAACACAACAGGACATTTTTTAAAATCCGAGATTTTTTCATTTGAAGGCCCCTAAATCTCAATTTTAAGGGCTCCATAAACATGTTTGTGTGTGTCATTCAGAAACCGTGCAAAATATAAGATTGTATTTTTTTAATTGATGGAGCATTAAATAGCAAATAAAATTAAAACGAGAAGCATTCTATATGTTGTTTTTGAGATATTTCGTATTCAAGCAGTTTTTAACGAAAAAATATGCATTTTATGATGTTAAAATCTGATTCATTCGAAAACGGTAAAAGATAGGAGCTTCCCCTCATAGAGTATTATATTAATATTGTTTGTTCTTTCTAATAAAAACGGAATCGTTAAATTGAGCGGTTTCTGATGGATATGTCAGTTGACTGTTCGGTAAGGTCAACCGCCGTGCAATAGATGGCGGCGGGAGCATCAAAATCTGCAGAACATGAAGAACCAGTGTCATCCACATCTGCAGAACGTGAAGAACTAGTGGCATCTCCAGAACGTGAAGAACCAATGACATCCACATCTGCAGAACGTGAAGAACTAGTGGCATCTCCAGAACGTGAAGAACCAATGACATCTACATCTGCAGAACGTGAAGAACCAGTGTCATCCACATCTGCAGAACGTGAAGAACCAGTGGCATCTACATCTGCAGAACATGAAGAACCAGTGGCATCCACATTTGCAGAACGTGAAGAACTAGTGGCATCTACATCTCCAGAACGTGAAGAACCAGTGTCATCTACATCTGCAGAACGTGAAGAACCAGTGGCATCTACATCCGCAGAACGTGAAGAACCAGTGTCATCCACATCTGCAGAACGTGAAGAACTAGTGCCATCTCCAGAACGTGAAGAACCAATGACATCTACATCTGCAGAACGTGAAGAACCAGTGGCATCCACATTTGCAGAACGTGAGGAACTAGTGGCATCTACATCTGCAGAACGTGAAGAACCAGTGGCATCCACATTTGCAGAACGTGAAGAACTAGTGGCATCCACATCTCCAGAACGTGAAGAACCAGTGGCATCTACAACTGCAGAACGTGAAGAACCAGTGGCATCCACATTTGCAGAATGTGAAGAACTAGTGGCATCCACATCTGCAGAACGTGAAGAACTAGTGGCATCTACATCTCCAGAACGTGAAGAACCAGTGGCATCTACATCTGCAGAACGTGAAGAACCAGTGGCATCTACATCTGCAGAACGTGAAGAGCCAGTGGCATCTACATCTGCAGAACGTGAAGAACCAGTGGCATCTACATCTGCAGAACGTTAAGAACCAGTGGCATCCACATTTGCAGAACGTGAAGAACTAGTGGCATCCATATCTGCAGAACGTGAAGAACCAGTGGCATCTACTTCTCCAGAACGTGAAGAACCAGTGACATCTACATCTGCAGAACGTGAAGAACCAGTGGCATCTACATCTGCAGAACGTGAAGAACCAGTGGCATCTACTTCTCCAGAACGTGAAGAACCAGTGACATCTACATCTGCAGAACGTGAAGAACCAGTGGCATCTACATCTGCAGAACGTGAAGAACCAGTGGCATCTACATCTGCAGAACGAGAAGAACCAGTGGCATCTACATCTGCAGAACGTGAAGAACCAGTGGCATCTACATCTCCAGAACGTGAAAAACCAGTGGCATCCACATTTGCAGAATGTGAAGAACTAGTGGCATCCACATCTGCAGAACGTGAAGAACCAGTGACATCTACATCTGCAGAACGTGAAGAACCAGTGGCATCTACATCCATAGAATGTGAAGAACCAGTGGCATCTACATCTGCAGAACGTGAAGAACCAGTGGCATCTACATCCATAGAACGTGAAGAGTGGCATCTACATCTACAATATATTCTAGAACTTGCAAAGCCATCCCCCGTGTTTAGTGTACATGCCGTACGTGTTTGTTATCGACAGAAGTAAAAGTTGGACTCACGAACAAATCAAACTTACACACACCATACCTGCCAGCCCCCCTTATCAGTGCTCTACCTTATTACAGACCAATTCAGACCTTATTGGTCACCCCGTGCCCTTATAAATCTCAACGTTCATCGGAAAAAGTCCCATCGCAAGGTAGAAACACAAACAAGATAAAAAATGGCTGTACGCTGTATGGACCTGAAAACTCAACGTTCCTGTACAAGCATACGGGGGTAAACCCGTATGAGGTTTGACATGGTATAGCGGGAGTTAAATGTTCGGACTTTACAAACAAATCGACTTACGAACACGGGGACCGCCCCTCCCCCCCGGAACTGAACCCATTCGTAAGTAGAGGATCCCCAAACCTTTGCGTGTTCGCGTAGCCCTCACCCAACATGGCTGCCGGATTAACTCTTGCGTTTCGCGTGGCCCTCACCCAACATGGCCGCCGGATTAATTCTTGCGTTTCGCGTGGCCCTCACCCAACATGGCCGCCAGGTTAAATTGCGTTTCGCATGCCCCTTACCCAACATGGCCGCTGGGTTAACTATCTTACGTGTTTCGCGAGGCCCTCACCCAACATGGCCGCCGGGATAAAATGAGCAATACCAAATTAAGCCAAGGGCCTCAAAACCACCTAGACTCTATGGGCTACCAAAGATTCATAAAATCGACAGTACAATTGGCTCTGCCACATATCAATTAGCAAAATATATAACCAAACAAATACAGCCCTACATCGGTAAGACATCTTCATTCATAAAAAAATTCAGAACATCTTGTGAATGTGATTAAAGATATTAAACTTACTCCTGATGATATTCTGGTAAGTTTGATGTGATTTCTCTATTCACTAAGGTTCCAGTGGACGAATCGCTTAAATTACTTGATACACTAGTAAAGAATACCGGTTTACCAAAAGATATTCCGAAACTTGCTGGCCATTGTTTAAATAACACTTACTTCTTATGGAGAGGGGATTTCTTTAAACAAAAGGAAGGAGCAGCAATGGGTTCTCCTTTATCCCCTGCTATAGCAAATTTGTACATGGAAAACTTTGAAATAAGAGCACTTGCCTCGAGCACATTAAAACCATCCTTTTGGTTTAGACATGTGGATGACACTTTGGTTGTCTGGCCACATGGTAAAGATACACTTAATGATTTTCTAAATCATCTCAATGCACAAAACCCAGCCATCCAGTTCACCATGGAAATGGAGGTGAATAACACACTCCCATTCCTAGATATTTTGCTTGGACATGGCCTAAACGGTAAAATAACACACAGCGTTTACAGAAAGCCAACGCACACTGATGCCTATCTGAATGCAGAATCACATCATCATCCAGCTCAGAAATCCTCTCTTATCAAGATGCTCATACATCGGGCTAAAACAGTGTCAGATGGTGAGAGTCTAGTAGCTATTTCTGTGACCAGTCACAAGCTAATCACTCAGCTATTTCAATGCTAAATTATCCTGTTTGATTTGTACTAGGTGCCTCTGTGGATGTGTAGGCTTTGACTTTAACATAGCTATTTCTGTGACCAGTCACAAGCTAATCCCTCAGCTATTTCAATGCTAAATTCTCCTGTTTGATAAGTAAACCCCTTTGTCAAGGTGCCTCACTTCTCTCACCCAGCTTAAAAGACGCTTCGAATCTTAGCAGCGTTCATTGAAGCTCTGTCGTCCCGACAGTTCTGTTCCTTCACCTGAAGAAGGCTACTTATGTTGTGGCCGAAACGTCGTGATTTTTGTTGTTTTATTTTTTTACCTACGTGACTTTACCGAATAGAACCAAAGAGTATGTTGGGTGAGGGCCACGCGAAACGAAAGAGAGTTTTTTTTTACCTACGTGACTTTACCGAATAGAACCAAAGAGTATGTATGGATCCTTGCAGTCACGAAAGCTTCAAATCTAGAACTCACCCAACATGGCCGCCGGATTAACGCTCGCGGTGACGTCACGGCAACGCGCACGCGCTCGCCTTCGGTTCGCGCCTTTTCTTATGGCGGGGGGGCGGTGCGGGGGTGGGGGTGACGGTGGCCATTTTGTCCCCGGTGAGGCCGCTGAGGGAGAAGAGCTGAGAGAGAGAGAAGGGGGTTTGGTGGTGTTTGGTAAAGGTTCTTTAAAGAAACCGTTCCCTTTAAGGCGTTATCGTATTTATTAACGCACACGCACAAAAACAACCCCCCCCCCCACACACACACCCTTCTACGGACCGTCGCAATGGCCACGGGAGCGAATGCCACGCCGCTGGGACGCGTGAACCCCCTGCTGACGGGGAAGAGGCCGCTGGAGGAGGATGCGGCCTTGGCGGCGGCGGCGCCGACGACGACGACACCGCAGCAGCTACAACAACAACTACAACAACAGCAGCAGCAGCCGCCGTTGCCGCCGCTGCCGCCTCCGCCGCCGCCGCCCGTGCAGCCGCTGGCGAGTGAGTTGCAGCGAAATGGCGACCGGCTTCGAACACCTCCACCACCACCACCTCCCCGCCGCCGCACACACCACACACGCGTGCACCGCTTAGACGTTCACCTCACGATCTCGTTACATTGTATCAACATGTGTTTTTTTTTGTTTTACCTCACGCTCGCGTTATGTTTGCTTAAACGCACGCGTGGTTGGGGTTGTTTTTTTGGGGGGTGGTGGTGGTGGTGTGAGTGGTTTGCTGTGGTGGTCGCTTCACGTAGCGGGGCTCGGCTTTAAAGGTTTCGTCGAGGGAGGTTAGTTTTTTTGTTATCGTTTAACGGCAATGGTTTTATTATGTGACGTGTAATCTGTATCTTTTGAGCGTCGCTCGTTGAATACGAGCTTTTGAGCGACGCGTTTCAAAGTCCGCCTTTTGTAATGCGCGTTGAAAGCAATGCTTTCGGAAATGTGTACGGCCTTGTGCACGATAACTCGCGCAAGTTGGCGACAACGAAATAGACATTTCGATTACATTATCTCGTGGCATACGTGAATGGTTGACACGAAACTGCTACATAACCACGTGGATTCGCACAGGATGTGGTGGGCAATTCCTTTGAGCATTTCCCAATTTTTCCTGTGGTCAAACTATTTCCATCTGCATTGAAATCCTTAACGATTATTCCAATGATTGCCCACAAAGTTAAAGTATCTGTAAAGTACGTCCGGCAAGACCACGCGCATGTTGTGTATTGCCGAATTGTTGCGCTTAATACCGCAATGTTACGCTAAATTTTGATTTAAAGCTTTCGTGACTGCGGGGATCCGTATCCTTGGTTCTTTCGGTAAAGACACGTAGAAGGGAAACAATAAAATAATAAATAAAAATATGCTACGCGTTCGTTATTATTGGACAGGGTGATAACATTTGATAACCACCCCGTCTAAAGTAATAGAGATCACGGAGAAAACATTTCAATTCCAGAACCTCGACGTGTCTAACAAACCGTTCTCAATAGACTCGTCGTTCATCGTTAATAAGTCCCTAGTTCGTGTAGCCATCGCTCATTACGATATATCTATGAACAAATGCATCTCCCTGTGTTTAGTTACATTTGGAGCTATCGTGCACCGTAATTCCAGTATTGTAAAAGGCTTGTGTGCACGTCAATTACTGGACTGATGTCCACTTTATCCTATATCTTAATTTGTTTTCATAATAAAGGTTTTTGGGTTAGATCGCGTTTATTTATAAATGTGTCGTAACCCTCCACCACCCGACACGGCCAATCAGCAAAAAAAGTGTCACGTTGACAAAAGACAAATAATTCACTACTTCAGCCCACCGGTGTGTTGAAGAGTTAATCCACAGTAGTGAATTATTTGTCTTTTGTCAACGTGACACTTTTTTTGCTGATTGGCCGTGTCGGGTGGTGGAGGGTTACGACACATTTATAAATAAACGCGATCTAACCCAAAAACCTTTATTATGAATAATATTGGTCGCGAAAGCCTACGTGTTAATTTGTTTTGTGCACATTCCACGCTAACACCTCCCATCGTAACTTTAAGCTTTTCACGTGAACACTTGACTTACACTTGCATTCGGACGATGTTGCATGGAACTCCAGATTATTGTGTTTGTAATAATAGTCTTGAAAGAGGAATACACGCTGCCTTTACAATACACATACTGTACTACTGTATTGTGTCGAAAAACAGTACAATAGTTTTGATTTAAAGCTTTCGTGACTGCAGGGATTCATATTCTTGATTCTTTCGGTAAATTCGCGTAGAAGGGAAACAATAAAATAATAAAAATATAAAACAATAAAATTCTCACGACGTTTTGACTGCAACACAAGCAATCATCATCAGGTGTGTTGCATCATCAGGTGTGGTTTTCACACCTGATGATGATTGCTTGTGTTGCAGTCGAAACGTCATGAGAATTGTATTTTATATTTTTATTATTTTATTGTTTCCCTTTGTGTATTTACCGAAAGAACCAATTTATAGTACAATAGTTATTTAAACACTACAGTTTCTGAAATAAGCGAGCCTTGATTAACAATAAGCTGCGTGTTTACTGTCAGTATATATGTTCTCTTGTAAAACAAAATAATTTCGGCGAGCGTATTAGAGCAACACGCTCATAAACACTATCCAATGCCATTTTCTGAAGAGAATATTGACGTGACAGAGCATCTCCTTTGCACCACAAAGAAGCATTTTTCTACATGCAGGGAAACCCAAGTTAATACCGTGCGAAATTAGGTCACGTTTTTCTCAACGTTGTAAACGATACTTCGCTTCAAGCACAGGAAGAATTTATTATACGTTTTTGCGACATTTTTTAACCAATCAACCTATGGTTGTTTTCATCCATGTAGAAACGGCTGCTTTCAAGCTTGCGGGTTTAAGCACACACTAGAATATTCTAATCGCATTAAACATTAACACCACCTTATAACAAAATATATCATAGTCTTGCGTATCGTGCAAATTACCTCCCTATTCAAAGCGCAACTGCCAACACAGACCTTTAATTTTTTTCGTTTAATGTTCATGCATTATACAAGTGGTTTAGTTGGAGGGGCATCGCTTCTCTTAAACATACTAAAAAATGCCACGTTTACGCTGCTTTATTCGTCCAAAGTTCTTGAGAAAGCAGCCGACTCCAGCGAGGCGGCGAAGGACAGAAAGAAAGCGAAACGGAGTCGCTGGGATACGGAGATGACGGAGAAGATCGCCGTGCCGGGCATGCCCACGGTGCTACCACCCGGCCTCAACAAGGACCAGGAGAGAGCCTATATAGGTAATGTGTCCCAAAGCACGTCGCATTCCCCCACACTCTTAACAGGGAAAGGACCCAGACCACGTTTTTCATTCATCAGTTACAACGTCAAGTGGAACACTGTTTAGTCTTAACCAGTTTCTCTGCATGGCCGGTGAAAGCGAGTTAACGTTTGATAAGCCTTATTCAGTGAGTGTGCTGGCTAATTTGCTTTTGTTGGCCATGTGAAGAAATTAGTCTCACTACAGGTTTTGTGTTGCATTTGGTGAATACTGGTCTCTTTTCTGCCCCATAGATGTCATACCTCTCATGACAGAACACAATCTCATGATGCATTTGGATGTTGTTTTTAACGAATGCCTGTATAACACATTTCAACCATTTCACACAATTTCAGTGACGTGTATTTTTTGGGATTGCAGATACTGTACTGTATATTTTGTTTCGTTTTAAATAAGTGATTACAGAAATGCAAATTTTATTGAATGTCTTGTTAATAATGTGTTACAATGCATCGTTTTTCACTAAGTTAACAATTTTAGTTAAAAACGTGTTTTCATTGATTATTATTTAAGTACGTGATGCTGGTGAGTGTTTTAATGAACTTTTCCTGTGGCAGACAGATGATTGGGTTGCATTGTTTTGAAAATTGCTGCTGGTGTGTTCTTTTTTTATCATGATTATTGCTGTTTGCGTTTGGCGTTGTGTGTTGTTTATGTTGCTTGACACTTAACCCTTGATTTCCTCCCGTCCTTCCCCAAACTTAACACATTTCAGTGCAACTGCAGATTGAGGACATGAACCGTAAGCTGCGCACAGGAGACCTTGGTATCCCTCCCAATCCTGAAGAGAGGTTGGCGACTGTAGCACTGCTCTACAGTAACCCATTTTTTTTCATCCGTTAATTGTCTTCGGTGGTGAAGTAACATGGCTGTTGTTGGCTTGAAATATCTGTGATTTTCAAGCCTGAAAGCTAAGTAAGCTTAATGAGCATGGCTGTCTCTGTAATTCTTTTGCCCGCTTATTGGCAGCAGTGAAAAAATTACGTTCAGAAGAGTAAGCACTATATTAATATATGCTGCTGCAATTGGTCTCTTGATGTTGGCTTGGTGCAGAAGAAAATCTGCATCTTGGTCACATTTGAAAATAAGCGAGTGTAGTTGATGCGTTGAGTAAATTGGCAAATATTAAAATGGTTCAGCTGCTTTTGAACCCTTTCTGCTCAAGTTGAATTGTGTGCTTTTTAAACAGTATAATCACGTCTGAAATGAAAGGGTTTAGTCTAACTCCCCCCTGTGACTGAAATAGAGTTGGATGGTTCCCATACACTTGGGCACTCAACAAATCTTGCAAATATGAATTGAAATGGCTACCTGCTGTTAAGTTTGCATTTTTTGTCCACACTTAATGCCACAATTAATCCTGAGCATACTTAAATTGCTCGTCCCTGGGGGAATGTTATATGAACCATATTGAGCATTTGTGCAAACTTTGTTAAAAATGAAATACAGGGATGGCCACAACGTATGGGAGTTTATTAAATGTTTAATGAATTATGGTTAAATGCATATTTTAGACGTGTGTTTAGTAGTTAATGCAGCGAGGATTGAACTTTGCTATGAAGATACATTTTAATGCTTGTGTAGTTATGACAATCTCCGTATGCTCATATATATTATTAAAATGTTAGACTGCTTTTTGTGCATTAGCCAGCAGCGGAAATGTGTTCTGTATTTCTAATTTGTAACCTAACGCAATGCAAATTGACCCATAACACGTGGGGTTTGGGGTGAGTTTTCAGGCCTGCAGAGACGACTCCAGAGATTTGTCATTTGGAATGACAACACGTTTATAAATAGCATAAAAAAGAAAATGCGCAATAGTTGATTCTAACCAAAAATGTTCATATTCTAATTTCTAACAATCTCTTCCCATAGGCAGCAGGAACATGGCAGATTTTTCCCCTTTAAATTTTGATATTTTTTTCCCACTAACAATTTCTAACGGAATGAAAGCAGGTTCCAGCAATACCGCTGCTCGATATCGGCTTCTGTAGTTTCAGCAGCCGCTGTGAACTGATGTGTTGAGCGATCGCACAAACCTTCATAATTGCCTGAATTGACAACAGTATACCATTGCTCTCATTACAGTGCAACTTGACAAGGCAAAATTATAAAGAGCTGTGAATGAGTTTAAAAAAGATCATAGTTTAATTTTTTTTGGTATAAGCAAATTATGTAACAATGATAATACCTGTGCTGAACCGAAGGGCAGGCCTGTGCGTTAGGTGTTTTCAGCTGAGGGCCGTCGAGTGGCGTCTCCTGATGCTAATATGCTTAACAAAGCCCTTACAGGTCAACAGGTCTTTTTAGCCCAACGCATTGCCCTTCATCCGTGACCCGACCCAGCGAATCTGCAAGCTGAGAGGAAGGAACAGAACAACTTAACGACCGCCTTAATCCCATCTTGCGTTGCATATTTGAAAATGACGGTTCCAATAGGCACCGCGTCTGACATTCCCCCAGTTTGGTGTTATTCATCTCTCGTTGCTTCTATGTTAGGCTATGCTAGCTTTTGTGTAGATGATTGACAATGGTTTAGTTTCCATTTCCAAATGCCTAGTGGAACCGTTGCCTAAAAGTAAATTCACATAGATTATGTTAATGCTAGATAAATAGCATGTCCATGCAGCGAATGTAAGCAGTGCAGTAACTTGTTCGTTGTTTTTAAGCTTTTATTTGGTCGACACGTTTTTGCATGGTGTCTGCAATAGTTCGCATTAGTGTAATTTCACCCCATTAGAATAATAACATTGTAATTTACGTAAAAAATAATATACATTTTTTTTACTAGATTTAGTTTTCTCTGAAGCCCCAAGTGAAATTACTTTACTAGATCAAGAGGTTGCTGTTTTCATTCAATGTCTTGGCAGGCAGTTGCAACAATGGGCGTATTTATTAAGTCCCTCTTAAGCTAGTAGCATAAATTCTTAACCTAGCCCTTACACTCCAGTCAATTGGCAGGTAGTGTTTGGGGAGGTAAAGCTTAGATACTCCCACTTTCGAGACGTGGCCAGCATGAAAGAGTCGCCCAAAAATACCCTCTTCGAGGGGCTCTTGAGTTCCTAATGGAGGCCTTTCTGCCACCAGTGGTGTGAAAAAGAAATTGCAGGTCTGTACATATAATAATATGGTTTTTTCCCCTTTTTTCTGGCAACAAAACTGAAACCTTACGAGGATTCATGTCTGCATTAACCACAATACCTGCAGTCAAAATGCAAACAAAAAACATACTGGAATAGGTTTTACCCTTTTAACTGGCACAAAAACTGACACCTTTATTCAAGGCATCATGTTTGCAATAACCACGACACAAGCAGTCAAAATGCAAACAAAAAAGACAACTCTGATAATAATAATATGCACTGTCCTTGAATTTGATTGGTCCACACCCGAGACAGCTTTTCTTAGAGCCTAGTCTCCATTGGTGTTGGACCAGAAGACGCCAAAAGGCGTACAACTCAAAAACAGCGCACTATCAGAGTATTTGAGGGCTCCTTGAGGACAGTGCATATTATTATCAGAGTTGTCTTTTTTTGCATTTTGACTGCTTGTGTTGTGGTTATTGCAAACATGATGCCTTGAATAAAGGTGTCAGTTTTTGTGCCAGTTAAAAGGGTAAAACCTATTCCTATATCTTGTTTCTGGCAAAGGAGGTCTCAATGTAAATGCTCACCCCGAGCCCTCAAGACTCTGATAGTGCGCTGTTTTTGAGTTGTACGCCTTTTGGCGTCTTCTGGTCCAACACCAATGGAGACTAGGCTCTAAGAAAAGCTGTCTCGGGTGTGGACCAATCAAATTCAAGGACAGTGCATATTATCAGAGTTGTCTTTTTTGTTTGCATTTTGACTGCTTGTGTTGTGGTTATTGCAAACATGATGCCTTGAATAAAGGTGTCAGTTTTTGTGCCAGTTAAAAGGGTAAAACCTATTCCTATATCTTGTTTCTGGCAAAGGAGGTCTCATAATGAAAAAAACATACTATGATAATATATGCATTGTCCTTGAAACTGATTGGTCCACGCACAGACATGAATCCTCATAAAAAGGTTTCAGTTTTGTTGCCAGAAAAAAGGGGAAAAACCCTATTATTACATTTTGGTACTGGCAAAGGAGGTCTAATGATGTACATATTAATTGAATAATTTACTCCTAACTTAAATTGATTATGTAATTTAACTTAGTGAGTTAAGTTAATTTAGGAGCAACAGTTGGCTTTAAATACCACAGACATGGCAATTGAAGCACCAGAATTACAACAGCAGCAACATTGATGTGCAGATGCCAGTGCAGGAACTGTTGGCCACGTGCTATGGTACGGGTCACCCATTTTCTGTCTGCTTCCGTGCATGTGTGTGTGTGCGCTTGCGTGCGTGCACTTGGCTTGGCACAGGTCACCATCCCCGGAGCCCATTTACAACAACGAGGGGAAGCGGCTGAACACTCGTGAGTACCGCACACGCAAGAAGATTGAGGACGACCGGCACGTGCTCATCCAGGAAATGTACAGGCTCAATCCGGACTACAAGCCACCTGCTGACTACAAGTGTGTTGTCCTACTCGCACCTCTATACATTTGAAATATAATCACAGCATTTGAGTGACGTCTTGTGCACGTTTTTCAGGTAATTAAACTTAATAATTTGTATACGGTTGGAGAGGAGGCATGCTAAAGAGTATTCGCTCCATGGCATAGGACTTACAGCAACTGCATTTATTGCAGGACTTCTGATTGTTCATTAACGAGCCACCATATCCTGTTGAGGGTTAAAGGCTTGTGATTGTAAATCTGCTGTACTGTCTTTTTAGTTATTTGTGTTTTTGATGCTGTCGTTACAATAATTATTTTCCAGAGGGTAGCATTTTTAAAGTGAGTGAACTGATTACAGGCCACCTGCGCAGAAGATAAGCGAGCGAATTATGATTCCGCAAGATGAACACCCCGACATCAATTTCATTGGCCTCATCATTGGCCCAAGGTAGGTTTTTCAATATGAATCTAGTGTCTTGCCTTCCTCTTGCCCTCCAATTTTTGTAAATTCAATTTGGGGTTTTAGATTTCACAGGTAAATAAGACATTGAGATGATTAATTGTTCAAAGAAAGGTAGTTTCCACTTCATAAAATGATCGCACTCTTGCTTTGAGCCATTTGACATGTTCACAAATATTGTGTATGAAGTTTTATGTATGCTACCACAAGTATCATGTTTAGGCTGTGTATAGAGTATCTTACTTTGTATTCGAATTGTGGCAATTGGGCTGCTTTTCAATGGGGATGCGTTGCCACCGCCACTAATTTACAGTGCTCTTTCACAGGGGCAACACTCTTAAGAAGATAGAGAAGGAATGCAATGCCAAGATCATGATAAGGGGCAAAGGTTCTGTGAAGGAGGGCAAGATCGGCCACAAGCCGGGGCAGCCCCTACCAGGCGAGGATGAGCCCCTGCATGCTCTGGTCACGGCGAGCACTCAGGACAACGTGCGCAAGGCTGTTGATCAGGTCAGAGCTCCCCCTTTCCTCTATTGTGAGACTCGGGCATATAATCGTAAATTTATTTAATTGTTTGAAATGTGCACAATGAATTGTGTGGATAGTTGCTATTTATGATTAATACAAAAACGTATGACGTTATTTTTCCATTTGGCTACTGGTTGTAAATGGCAGGCAGCACAGATGAGAAAATGCATACCAGAGAATGAAGCAATGGCAACAAAGTTAGTAGATTTTTTTATCTAGTTGACTTAATGGAGTCATGCAGGGCATGAATGGTAATGCATATTTGTTCGTTTTTTTCAGTTATATTAAACAGTGCTGTAAAAGTTACATCATTTCGACATAGTACTTGTTTTTAGATTGGGGTTAGATATGCATTCTGTGATTTAAAAAAATGAGGCATAGATTTATCTCTATAAGAAAACATGGAAAATTGGTGCCGTACGACTGCTAAAATGTGTTTTGTAAACTGGGCGTGGCATTCAAAAACAAGACCATGCTGTTTGTAAAAGTAACTGCTTGTGATTGTCTACAAGTGGCCACATTCATTGTAATTATATTTATATTGTTTGTCAGCAACAGGTCTCAATTTGTAACCTCCAGAATCACATTTGCAGATGTTTTTTGTTCCTAACCAGTGGTGCCCTTTTGAAAAAAGGCATTTTGAAATAAAACCATTCTGCCAAGGGTTTCATAAACCTATGTGTGTGTGTCTGCAGATCAAGAACATTCTGAAGCAGGGCATCGAGGTGCCGGAGGGGCAGAACGAGCTGAGGCGCATGCAGCTGCGAGAGCTGGCCCGTCTCAACGGCACGCTTAGAGACGACGAGACGAGCAGGTGGGAGTCGTAACTATAAACACTTAACACTATCAAACCTTCCTCACTCTCCTGTGCAGGCCTTTGCAATACCTAGAGAAGCTTGGCTGTGCTTTGGGAAAGTTGTTTGGAATTTTTTTTGAATGTTAGAGACGAGGTTTTTTTTTTCTACATTAAGCTGTGATCGTGTTTTTTTTACTCTAGGGTGCTCCGACCATGGCAGGCACCGCCTGAGACTCGTAGTGTCACCAATATGACGATCTGTAATCGCTGTGGGGGAGCCGGTCACATTGCTTCGGACTGTCGAATCAGCAGGTAAGTTTTATGTGTTGCGATGCACACACATCTTGTTTCCTCAGGGTGACTATTGTGTGGGTGGTTGTCAGTTGCTACAAAAAAGCCTACCTGTTTGTGTTTTAAAATGTAACAACACCAGCCAGGTTTTGTGCAGATTTTAAGAAAGAGAAATACAAAACGCTACTGTGGTAGATACCTAGGCTGCATGTCCTGGGCTATCCAGCATGAGTTTGAGGGGGAGTTATGGGCAAAAAAATAATTATACCACTAAGGATGTTAACCTCAATGCTACTCCCATACATTTTCACTTGTCAGTGCAGTAGCATCGTTATGAGCTCTGATAGAACAACATGATTGGTCGTTTTGGCCTGGTCATTGAAAATTAGTTGATAGCTTAATGGGCCTTACTGAAAATAAACTGGCTGATAAAGTAATTTATCACCAACAGAGCTTCTCGTTGGACAACCCGCAGCCTAGATATGTATCTACATGATATGGCCTGTTTTTGTGATTTGCAACCTTGAAATGTTTTGCTCATGAAAGATGTCGGCGTGATTCCCTGATTGCTGTGCATTGTCCTCCGGCGTCAGGGAGAATGCTGCTGCTGGTACCGGCGGTGGCACCGGTGGTGGCGGTGGTGGGGGCATGGGCATGGGTCCTCCCCAGGGCAACCAGGAGCGAGCACGCATGGATGAGGAATATCTCTCCCTCATGGCCGAGCTCGGGGAGGAAACACCTGCTCGCTCTGGCGGTGGACATGTAAGTACCATTTAAATGCATGTGAGGTAGAGGGTGTATGAACAGAGACCAAACCAGACGAGCGTTTAAAGTGGAGATGGACAGGAACAGCTTAGGACAACTCCATGGGTTTGGGGGGCACAACAGCCTTTCAGGGGGGATGCAGCTGCAGTATGTATAACATGCAGGATTTTTAATGTGCCCAAGGAACATTAGCGTCGGGTTACAGAGTCTACACAAATAACATGAAAAAAATGCCCTGCGTAAGTTACGTTGACGAGAGGTGTCGACAAGTGATGTATCTGTGTATTTTGGCCATAGTTACCGAGGGTGGGGGGGGACAGTTCACAGTGGTGAGATGTTAACTACCTTGCCTGTTATACCGGAGGTCGTGGGTTTGATCCCGACATTGATTCCTGCATATTTGGAGTTTGCATGTCTCCTCTCCCTGTGGTCGTGTGGATTTTTCTCCGGGTCCTCCAGTTTTCCACTCAACATTTAGTATCAACATGCATTTAGTATATTTAGTTGCTATAAATTTCCACACGATGATAAGCCACTTCGTTTAGCTATCATTTGTGGCCAGGTCGCTTCTGAAAAGGAGCTTTATAGCTCTGTGTGGGCCTTGTCTGGTAAAATAAAAAATTGTTTAGATCAGTATACGAAAAAGGTTGAGAACCTTTGGCATAAGACGAAAAAGAGAGCATTGGAAGATAAGAAAAATAGTGTTGGAGAATAGAATTTTAATGAAGACTTAATGCCCTTTATTTACCAAGGAGAGACCTTTTTCAGGAGGGTTCTGGAATTGAGTTGTTTAGCCAACACCATTAACAGTATTTTTTCTGAAGGATTAAACTCGAGTACCTGGATAAAATCCCATGCATATGAGGCATTAATATTAAAGCTCTATACAGATTAAATTCAATAATTGCTGTACGACCATTTCCAGGCTACCTTGCAGTCCATACCCTACAATACCTGGTATTTCCAAAGTCATCCTCTATAAAATTACAAGATCTGATGAGATGGGGTGCACTTTAGATGATTTGGTTGTATAGTGAAGAATGAGGTGAATAAATCTACATCACTGACCTGGTTATGTTTTGTGTTCCAGGGTGGTGGAAGTGGTGGGCGCTCTTCGTGGATGAGCTCGGCACCCTCTGACAACAAGCCCATGCTGGCCATCCAGGCAGGACCCTCTCGCCCGCAGCATGGCTTCGGAGGCGGTGCCGCTACTGCTGCCGGCGGTCACATGCAGCAGCACCAACAGCACCAGCAGCACCAACAGCACCAGCAGCACCAGCAGCACCAACAGCACCAGCAGCACCAGCAGCAGCACCAGCAGCATCACCACCAGGGCGGTGGGGGAGGCATGGGTGGCCACGGGCACCACATGCACCATGGAGGGCACGGCGGAGGCGGGCCTCCACCCATGTGGATGCAGCACTCGCAGCAGCAGAGGCTGCCGCCCCCTGTGCCCATGCCGCCTATGGGTGAGGAAATATGGCTGGTCCCCACTGCGCTTGTTTGTGTTGGTGCTTCTGTCAGTTGGGCATTGTGTGCATTGTAGCATTCCAGGCAAGCCTTATTGACTTGTAAAGGAAGGTTCAATTGAATAAAAACATAGATCTCTTGAATATATATTTAGTCTGTACCGAAATGTTTTGCAAGTATCGCTCCTGAAAAAACATTAAAATTACATTTAGGTGTTCGATTGTAGCAGCGCTGTGGTGACGTTTATTAGTAATAAATCGACATTTTTCGACCCCCACGGCGTATTATATTATTATGTGCCAGTGACTCTATGAGATGATAGGACAATAGTCCGAGTCCATAATTTGCAATAAGTAACGGCAAAGCAGTTATAAGTGACTCGCAGAATTGTGCGCAGTTGCGTATACAGTACACGACTTCCCTGAAGGCATACCTTCAGCGAGCGCGATGCTGATCACACACGGTTCGAATTCGACCCTCGATCGATGGCTGCGGCATCGCCGCACACGTCGAATAAAAAGCAAGGGACAAGTCCTTGCTTACTAACAACTCCTATCATTTTTCATTGCTGGAGGGGTTGCCCCCCCCCCCCACCTGAAAATCCTGGCTCCGCCATTGCCGTTAAACATTAATCTGGAACATGAGTCGCCAATACATTTAACGAACCTTGCCTGTTTATATATTCATTAATAGCCTGTTCTGACTCAATTGTCTGTATACAATTGTGCGCCATGTGCTTAAAAGGGTCTTTCACTTTGTGCGTGTGCAGGCATGCCTCCCTTCATGGGCATGGGGCCCCCCATGCACCACAACACCGTGCAGGCACCACCACCTCCACCCATGGGGGGCAACATGATGAGCTGGCAGCAGCAGCCCCCGCCGCCACCCATGCCTCAGTCAAGCACGAACGTGTCAGCTGGCAGCCTGCCCTGGCAGTCGGCCGGTGAGTGCACCTAGCCTGGTACGGATACCATGTGATCTAAATGCTACTTAGGGTTGAGTGCTGTTGTGTGGGATGAATCTTAAAAGAGCTTTATCTCCTCAAACCATAAGATGGTGCAAGTTGCAAAATATGTAACATGCCTTAATTTTTGTTACTTGAACAATTACAGTAATGTACAAAAGTATATTTTAATGAAAAATTTTAGGTAAAAAAGAATTCTGCATCTAAAATACAAAAATTTTGCAGCACAATATAAAATATTATGAAACTGCACAGATGTGAATTCTGTAATTCTTTCCAACATTCCTGTCTTTTAAAGTATTAACAATATGGAAGCTCATGGGTAGCCGAGGGAAAATGTTATTCCATATATGCATCTAGTTCTTTACTAGCTAGTTTGTGTTCCAGTTTTGGCCAGCTGACTAATTTAGCCAGGTTTAAATAAAGTACTGAATATCAAACAACATTATAAAAGAGGTTTATTCATATTGAATCATTTTTTCTGTAGTTATCGTGCACCCGCTGACAGATGGATGAATGAACAGCTAATGCATGTATGTGTGCAACCTCAATTGAGACGCATTACAAATATAAGTGGTATTCTTTGGGTCTTTTGGTAAAGTCACGTAGATAGGTTCAATTTATTCAAAATAAAATAAACCAAATACGATGTTTTGATCACAACACAAGCGATCGTTATTCAATACGAAAAAAGAGTTGGAAAACTGCTGAGGCAGACTGTTTTAAAGGTTTAAAATGGGTGTAGCCCAAGGGTCATAAACGAAGTGGGAGGTGCTAGTGATGTTAATGTGAGAAATTAGCATGGTTGACTAGGATCGCCTATTTCTCTTTCTAAAATTTACCAGGCTCTCATAGGTCCAAACGCTCTTTCTCTCCCCCGGCCGCTTCGCGGTGGATTTCCACAGATCTCTCTGTGTCTCTGTCAAATTTCACACTTGACTTCTAATTTAGCAATCTTTGGAGATCATAATCAACCAAGCTATGCGTTAACTGTGTGTTAGCCGACTCTGTGTTGCATTACATTACATTTCCAAAAGATTTGCTAAATTTTGTTTTCTCAACCTATTTCTCTCTAAAATTTACCAGGCTATCATAGGGGCTTCGAGGTGGATCCATTGGCATGCTAATTTCTCTGCTCCAGCAGCTGCCCCAGCAGACCCACCTCTCTCTCTGCCCCCCCCCTGTCTATTTAAGGCCTCGACACAGAGGCATTGGGTCTCTGTGTCTGTTGTGTGGCTCTCTCTGTGTGTCTGTGTTGTCTCTGCTTGTGTGTCTGTCTGTGTCTCCTTGTCTGTGTTTTGTCTCAATTTAGTTCTACCTGATGACGGTTGCTTGTGTTGCAATCGAAACGTTGTACTCTAATTTATTTTCTTTCTACGTGACTTTAACGAAAGAACCAAAGAGTAATTCCTGCAGTCACAAAAGCTTCAACTCAAGTTAGAAATTAGCATGTGAATGTAAGATCGGAGAGGGGCCTCCACTGCGAGCGCGCTGAGGTGGCTATGTTAATGTGAGAGATTAGCATGTTAATGTAAGATCGCAGAGCCGCTGCTGCGTCGAGGTCGGCGCAGAGGTGGCTGTGTTGGTGTGAGAAATTTAACCTGTTGATGTAAAGCCCACCGGCTATCAACAAAGATTCTTTCGCACCGTACATAGTTGCGGGGAAGGACAACAAACTAAACACAAAAAGCAGTTCTAAAGAAAGTAGTTTTCAATTTTGGCGGTGGTGGGGCACGCAAAGGTTGGTGGATCCCACAAATGTTGCGAAACTCCTCATGGGCTTGCCAGGAGAAGTCGATACAGCAAAATGTAGACTAATATCATCTGTCCCTTTTGTATGGGATAGTGTTGCCCTCTCACAGGAGTGGGTTTTCTCTGCGTGCTATTGCTTTCTCCCAATATATAAACACTCGTTACTTGGATAAAAAAAATTGTATATTGAGGGCGGCAGAACTTGGGGAATTATTAACGCTGGCCACCTGGCTGCCTTCCAACTTGTCTGTGGTTTCTCAGCATTGAGATGCATTTGCATGAATGGCGCTATATAAATACAAATCATTAAATAAAACTTACCAGAGATTGCTGAAGAGCTTGCTTATTGAGGCCTCTTGGGGTGAGCAGTGGGTGGAGTTCAGAATCGGAATATTAGCTGAGACTGGAGGAATACGATTAACAAAACGCTATTTTTCACAGATGTCCAGTCGGGGCAGGTCAGAACGTTACAACAACAAACAATACAAAAACAGGATAGGAGTGCAAAGTATAGGAAAGGTAAGCAAATCGCTTATAAAAAATACAAGTAAAATAAAAACAATTTCTATGCAAAGGGGTAGGATCCAATGGCAGAGACAGGATTTTCAGGTCGGGGTGGCAACCCCTCCAGCAATGAAAAATGATAGGAGTTTTTAGTAAGGGCTTGTCCTTTGCTTTTTATTCGACGCGTGTGCGGCGATGGCACAGCCATCGATCGAGAGTCGAATTCGATTGGCATTGCGCTCGCTGAAGATATGCGTGCAGGGAAGTCGTGTACTGTATACGCAACTGCACACAATTCTGAGAGTCACTTAAAACTGCTTTTCTGTTATTGCCAATTATGGACCCGGACTTGTCCTACCATCTCATAGAGTCCCTGGCACATAATAATAATATGCTACACAGTGGCAGTGGGGGTCGCAAAATGCCGATTTCTTACTAATAAACCCCAATGATACGATCGAAATTAGGGATTTCAAACGGATCATTGGGGGGACACGTGCCACCCCCACCCCTCCCACTGGCTCCGCTAGTGGTAGGATCAACTGCCTCTTCATCTGACAATGATGTTGGAGCCACAGGAATATTCACTGGAGGAAGCTGGCTCTCTTTTGGGCTCTTCTCTGGACCTGGTTTGATTGCAGAATGTTTAAAGAATCTGCCTGAGGAGAGCTGGACAGCATTTGTCTTCTGCTGGTACAGCTTTTTGTAGCAGTCAATGCCGGTTTATATTTGTGGTCATGGTGGCATCGCTTTATTGGCCTCTTCTTCAGCTCCTTCCAGCTGTATAAGATCCTCATTTAAATGGTCCCCTCACCATGGGACTCCAGCAACTTTTGCCATGTCCGACGCCTCCACGTTGTCAAGTCCAGCTATTTTGCGATGTAATACTTCTACGCATGTACCAAGTGGAGGGGGGAGCCCTCTACGTTAAACTTGAAAGGAAATAGGTTCCCAAATTAATCAGCAGTGTATATGCGGAACAACACAATGTGGCAACTTGTAGCAGGGGATTCCTGTCCTAATTTACTATATGAATGTTGAAAATGTAGTGTCATTTATGAATGTCTCCTCCCCCACTCCCATAGCCATGACGAACACGGGTACGGCGCTGCCCCCGTGGCAGCAGGCCACTCCTAGCACGGCCCTGCCACCGCCGCCACCACCGGGACCCAACCCGCCCGCACCTCCCGCTGCACCGGCACCACCCACCGTGGCCCCAGCTCCAGTGCCACCACCCCCAACTCAGCCACCACTACCGCCCGGCGCTCCCCCACCACCTCCACCACCGCCTGGCTCGGCGCTGCTGTTTGCTCCTCCGCCGCCACCGGCTGATCCAGCCACACAATACCCGGGCATAATTGGCACTATGGGCATGGGCCTGTCGTTTGCCATGCCACCACCACCTCCCCCACAGAGCTAGCCCACCGGACGAGCTAGAATACGTATCTGTTTTCTGTTGGTGTTGTCGATTGCAGCGTTACGATCCTGGGATAAGGGTCACAGTCTCTAGGTAGCTGCTTGGAAAATCCCTCTTGGCGCGATTTTTGTCTTGTGATTTTTGTTTGCGAAAAGATGAGGTAAGATTGGTATTTGAACGTTAAGTGATTGATCTGAAGCCTGACCCACAGCATGAGTTTGGCCTTGAGAGAATCTCAGTTTTTTTGGCTTATCTGTTTTTTTATAAAAAATGTTGTGTGCACCACCTTATCCAGGCACAAAGATTCTGCAGGGGTTTTTTTTTTCATACAGAATTAAGTTTACCTAGGCGTTTGTGAAAAATAATGCATTGTGGAAATAGAAATATTGTAGCTGGTAAGGCTAGTCTTCAGGAAATTATCCGTTGCAGGAGTAAAATCTGTTATAGTTATTTTTTGTAACGGTCTTTAGACTTTTTTTATATATATAAAGTACTGTATTGAAATTTGACTTAATTTACAGGCAGAATACAAATATTTTCAGGATGAATTATTTTTCACAAAAGTACCGCATTTAGATGAGTCTTTTTTTACAATTGTTTTGGTAAAGTTAATTAAATTACCCTTTCACATTATATTCTGCACCTCTGTTTGGAAAGGCCCATTGTAATGGTGATTGGTGAATGGCAGTGCTTCTGCTTGCAAGTGTATTGACACTCTAAATTTTTTAATCGTGTCAGTTGTGGTGAGTGGCTGTACAAAGCAACATTTTTCCTTTATGGGGTGTGTGGGGTGGTGATGTGAAATGATGGAATTAAATGGGTGATTAGTTTTTTAAGTGTGGCAAGTTGCATAAAACACCTTAAGAATATTCACCCTTTGTCTCGTTGGTTTCGAGGTTTTTTTGCAACTGGTTTATCTGACTAACCCACTAAGCTTCACACCAAATCTCTGAAGTTGGAAATTGACAACATGCTTAACATTTTACCCAAAATAATGCCTGGTTATTGGTGATGCAATTATACAATTTGAGACTTGCGGTGTACAATGTGAAGTCGATAGTGGTGTGGTGATTTGTGTTAAACGCCCCCCCCCCCCCCCACCATAAAGCGATTTTCCCCGTGGTTTTGCCATTTAATGCGGTACCATTTGAAAGGACAACACTCGATAGGTGTTTTATACACCTGGCCCACATACGTGTTTGTGTGCTGGGTACCCATGAGGATGTTTGAAATTATGTTTTCGAGTCAATTTTAACTTGGGATAACTTAATTGCAGGACAGCTCAGCAGAAAGCCAGGGAAACGCATTTATACGATTGAGCTGTTTTTCTTCATAAGAATAAAGTGGTTTTGTACAAAAAAGCATCCTGAGCAGTTTAAGTTTACCCAGCTCCATATGTGGTTAAACAGCTTGGACTTTACACATGTAAATCAAACAGGATTACGGTGTTATCAAGATGCCAGATTGAGTACGCAGATTTTAAATTTATTTAAACAGTTATTCCTCGGTTACGTATTGTTAATTGAATGCAACGGCGTTCGTTTAACGAGATGGCGCCGATTTTCTTGCACCGTTGCAGTATTGTTGGTGCTTTCGCGCCGGTATCGAATACGAAACGGTTATCGACAATGGACTCCCAACAAAGGCGCGCACACTTCAGACGCGCAAGTGCAAAAAGGCTCTACCTGCGTCGGCGCGAGCCACCTTTACCATATCAATTACCGCGGCGACGACCGGATTGCGCCAGTTTTTTTAATTTAATCTCCAGTACGAGCCCCCGCGACTCGACCTGCTGCGCCCGCCCTTCCAATGCAGCCCGCCTCGCACTTGCGTCACTCCGTGTTGGTTTGGGGCGGTACCCATTCGGCTTGGACGTCATTCGCATAAAAAGGGCTCCGCCAAACCGTGGAAGGGGGCGGTGTTTGTGCTCAGTCGTCTCGCAGCCGCCGTCTCGTTCAGCGTTCCATTCAGTGTCCGGCGTTCGCTTTTTTTTAACCCATCTCAGCGCCGTGAGAATCGACCTCTTCCCGATACTCAAGTTGGAGAGATGGTAAGTGGCGTGCGTGATCCAACTGTGGTCATTCTATCGTTTCTAAGTGTGATCGATATCTGTTGCGGTACTAAATATAGCAACACGCCCGCGTCTGCCCAGTGACTTTAAGTTGTAATCAGTCACACGTGCGCGCTGTGTATGCGTGTGTCGCTCTGTATTAAATACGGTACGTAACGCAGCGTGTGATCACAGGGTTACGCGAGTACTAAGTGCGTCGCGCACTGTAGCCCGAGTGTGCAGTTTGTTGCAGTTACGATCTCTTTGATGGGAAGGAGGTCGAGTCGGTGATGAGTCACTTGCTCCGAGTCCTGGTACGGGTCGCTTTTACCGAACCCCGCCTCTCACTGAATCACCGGCCTCCCCAGGGGCCTTTCCCAACCTTACCCCACCCACCTTTCGCCTGCCCTCCCGATTCTTTGTGACCAAGGTCAACTGCGAACGAAAGTGAATGGGGATTGAATTTTCAGGTAAATCACTTTGCTCACAATAGGTGTCGAGTCTGGGGGGACATGTTCATCGCTTTTGATGGTAGTGGAAGTTCTCCGTATCTACGACGACCTGATCGGTCTTTCAAATGATAGTTAACCATATTTGGCTTCCATGCACAAGGTAACGGTTCTACTGGTAGGAAACGTAGTGGACTGGAAGCCCAACCGGGATTGATTCACCTGAAGAAGGCCACTTGTGTTGTGGCCGAAACGTCGTGAGAATTTTAGTGTTATTTTATTATTTGATTATTTTAATCTCATTCTACGTGACTTTACCGAAAGAACCAAAGAAGAGGAGGCAGGGGGTTAATTGTGTGTCTGTGGATGTTTGTCCACGTGTATCCGGACACCTGGATATATAACAAATGCGCTCCTAGGGGACATTACTGGTAGGAAACGTAGTGGACTGGAAGCCCAACCGGGACTATCACAGGAGGTAGGGGATTAATTGTGTATGTCTGTGGATGTCTGTCCACGTGTATCCGGACACTCGGATAAAATGGGAGGGGTGGGGCTGGGTGGAGAGGGGGGGGTGGGGCTGGATGTGGAGGGGCTAATATGACGATTATGAGACTGTACCCTGGCCAGGGATTCAACTTGGTATTCATGAATGGCAGCCATCCTTCTCTACGTTTGTTGCCCTTCCCCCACACCTCCAATTATCACGATTGGCTTCGTACGATGCGAAAGAAGTTCACCATAAATTACATGACCGTTTTATTTGTAATGCTTTCCAATTGAGGTTAAACACATGAACTGGCTGTTCGTTCATTCGTCTATATGTAAGGGGGTGCACGATAACTACAGAAAGGGTGATCCAATATGAACGAACCTTTTTCCATAATGTTATGCTCTTCAGAACTTTAAACCTGGATAAATTAGTCAGCTGGCCAAAACTGGGAGACAAACGAGCTTGTAAAGAACTAGAGAAGTATATAGAGACGATTGTATCGGTTTTCACTTATTTGGCTCGGCTCTATCAAAAATAGACTTGCAGATCCGATGTATTCTTTCGACTGCTAAAATAAATGCCGTCTCCTCCAGGCAATGTGTATTGCGTTCGTTATAACGAAACCCAGGTTTACATAACAGTGACGTAATCGGTTCTGTTCGAGAGAACCCAGGTGGCTTTCAGCAGGACAAGTTAGAGAGTGGCTGGTGGGAAAAAATAACAACGGAATGACATCCAAAGGGGGGGGGGGGGTGAACGTGCCCAACAGCTCATTCGCCGTCGAGATAGAGCGATGAGGTAGGCTCGTGTGCAGGTGTTGGGTGAATTATGGCATCAGAGGACCGTGAAGGATTAAGGATTGGCGACAGCTTGGGAAGGCCTTCATCCAGCAGTGGATTTATGGCTGGTTCGTTTTTGACATGAATAAGGTACTACTAGCCCAACCCTGATGGTGACGTCATCGTACATGTAATTTGGTCAGGCAGCTTTGAACTGGTTCCATTGCTTTTTACATTTAACGATTACACGGCTGAGATTTATAGATCATTTGGGGGTGAGCAGCATAACTTCCAATCATAGGATTCATGATTTCCAATTCGGTCCGGATAAAAATTGGTTCTATCGTAGGCATCATCATTAACACCATCTGCTCAACAACTTTCATTGTTGACTCCGTTGACATTCTCGTTGAAGATTATTTTGTTTTCCAAGGTGGGACCTGAAGAGACCAGAATAATAGTCATTCAAATAATGTACAGAAATGAAGCGAATAGAAAACCAGCAAAAACAAAAGCTGTACTTGATAAATGGAGAATACAAATTACTTGAAAACTGTTTGTAGCACAATTAAGTTACCGAATCATTCGACAGATGTTTGGTTATTGCAGGAATATATAGACAAGGATACGTGTCAAATTAAATTGCAAGTGAAGTTGTATACCATCAGATCAGCTGGGTGCTTATCATTGGATCAATAATCTTTCATTGTTATCATCGGCTCAATATGCATAGTCACTATCGTCATCATGGACTCAATCCATAATTGGCAAGGGCTCAAATAAAAAAAAATCCACCACCGGCATCGTTCTCATCGTTATTTTCCAGAGCTTTGCACCGGACAGCTCCAGATAAAAATTCCGGTATATCAATCTTTAATTAACCGAGCATGAAATGACCCTGTCTTCGATGCGCGCGGCAATTCCTCTTGTCCTTTATTAAATGTCCCCGCGGTGTACAATTGCATATCCCAGGCTGTCGCTGAGCGATGGGGGAGACGCAGTAACACGCAGGGCACGTGCCTTGTAACAGAGTGTTCCGCGGGCAAGGGAACACTGTGTCCTGGCTCCCAGACTGCGTCTCTAGCGTCTACAAATGGGAAAGTTTAAACCTCTAACGGTTTGTACGCTCCGTGGCTCCCAATGTGTGATATTGTACAGAAGGGATCGTACTTTTTCTGCATGTGTAGTAGCAGGTACATGTGCAGGCCCTTGCAATTGCTCGCTCACGCCACTGCTACGCTGTTAAATTATATTTGAAAGAGGTGGGAGAACCCACACTTTACCCCACCACGCGCGAGCTGTCGATCTACTCGCTATTGCAGTGATTATTAAAGTCCGTTCAAAACGTCGGCTTTTGCAACCAATATTATCCGGAATAAAGGTTTTTTTTAGGTTAGACCGCGTAAATATTAACGTGTCGTTAAACCTGCCACCACTCGACGCACTCTATTAGTAAGGTTTGTCACGTAAACAAAAACGTGCCAATTAGTTACTTCAGCTCAATTGCAAAAGATTCTCAAATTAGTCTTGACCAGTAGTAACTAGTTTTACCCAATGGCGGAGCCAGGATTTTCAGGTCGGGGGGGGGGCAACCCCTCCAGCAATGAAAAATGATAAGAGTTGTTACTAAGTAAGGATTTGTCCCTTGCTTTTTATTTGATGCGTGTGCGGCGATGGCGCAGCCATTGGTCGATGGTCGAATTCGAACCGTGTGTGATCGGCATTGCGCTCGCTGAAGGTTTTTGCCTTCAGGGAAGTCGTGTACTGTAGACGCAACTGCGCAGAATTCTGTGAGTCACTTATTACTGCTTTGCCGTTACTTATTGCCAATTATGGACTCGGACTATTGTCCTATCATCTCATAGAGTCCCTGGCATATACTAGGCTGCACAGTGGCAGTGGGGGTCGCAAAATGCCGATTTATACTGGTAGAAAACGTAGTGGACTGGAAACCCAACCGGGATGAATTCACAGGAGGCAGGGGATTAATTGTGTATGTCCGTGGATGTCTGTCCACGTGGGAGGGGTGGGGCTGGGTGGAGAGGGGAGGGTAGGGAGGGGCTGGGTGGGGAGGGGAGGGTGGGGAGGGGCTGGGTGGGGGGTGGGAGGGGTGGGGCTGGGTGGGGAGGGGCTGGTCACCTCGTGGTGCCCTTATAAAACTCAACGTTTAACCTACTCACGCCGGCTTGTGCCCGCCCTCACAGTCGGGCATATTTGCGGAATACACCATGCCGCCGTTGACCCTGGCCATTGACCGAGCAACCCAACGTTCCTACCAGCTCCCTCCGCAGGAATGTGTTTACTAATAAACCCCAATGATCCGATCGAAATTAGGGATTTCGATGGGATCATTGGGGGGGGGGCACGTGCCCCCGCCCCCCCCCACTGGCTCCGCCAGTGGTTTACCCAAAACCTCAACATCAAAACAATGGAATGTCCTTGTTGGCACGTGTGTTCTGCAACTCCCGACAGTTGTGTTTGTGAGTTTAATATTTATTCGGCGTTATTTTTAGCCTGATGCAGCTAGTCATTCGTCCCGTCTGACCAACGTATCATTGACCACAGAGCTTTGAGTCTCTTTTAAAGCGTA